TTTAAAGAAAATCCTATTACACAAACCCTTAACGAACAGGAAAAGAGGTAGACCGAGGCTGAGATGGCTGGATTTAGTTGAGACTAATTTCCTTACTCTAAAGGAAAAAAAATGGCGAACAAGTGTCTAAAGTAGAGAGAAGTGGATTCGAATTCAAAGGAATGCACTGGCCCACCCTGGGCTGTCTAGTCAGATATGATGATGATGTTAAAATACTGCATATATTGATTTTAATGCTTTTCCTTGTGTATAATGTTTTATTATGACTATTTTACGTTATACCTTTATTTTTGTATTCAACCATTTACTTGTGATTTATGGATATTAAGTATATTTTAAAATTAAAAAAATTTAATCTGTTTCATTATAAAGCAAAAATAGTTTTTTTTTTTCTAATTTATTTAGGATGCTTTCCTGACCAAGAATTTTTCATTCATATTTAAAGATATGCATGTAAAAGGTAACATCGATGTTCCTGTTTTGAATAATCTCCAAATGTCTGATTTAATGCATGCTAAAAAACTTCAGATTTGCAAAGGTAAGTAGAATATTTTAGTAACTTATTTATCATATTTGCAAGAATGTCTTTTTTGCTTTTAAAATATCTAAATTTTGAGCTATTTTTGCTTAAAATTTAACCATTGTTAAAAAAATATATTTTTAAGAAATGGTTTTATTGTTAAATTGAAACCATTTGTTAAAAAAGTAAGAATTACTAAACAGAAAAAAATTAGTGATGCTAAGGATACTAATTACAATAACATTGATTTGTGTAAAAATGTTCAATATTCTATAATGGCAAAGCCCTCTGCATGAGAGTGTATGTTAAAAATAACTTGTGGTGGAAATAACGTGTTTGTTATCCTCTGTATTTTGGATGATAAATTCCATCTCATGTTTCTTGCTTTTGGCATAAAGTTCTATTGTAAACAAGATTTTTTAAAAAAATATAATTTACATAAAAATGAAGCTAATGTTGGGAAAGGCTCCACCCTTTTTTTGACCCTTGAGTTTTGATTTCAAAATTGTGGATTTTGTGTACATTCTGTACTAGTCTACTTTTGTTTAACCTTGCTGGATCTTTATTTTTTTATTTATAAGTATAAGTAACAAAAAGCAGAAAATTTTGTGTAAACGAAATTTTGTTTTGTAGAATATTATTTCTCAATGTGCCATTTTGTTTTCTAAACAACAAATGTTGATTTTTCTATGGAATCAGTGTGAAAATTCAGAATTGTGAATGTAAATAAGGAATGGATAATTACAAAAGTATACTGTTTGTAACTTATTTATACTGATGAGTGGATTACTAGTATGAGAGTGTTTATATTTGGTTTCACAAAACAATGGAATAGATGTGTTTGAAATTATGTCAATTCAGGTACCTGATACTAACCATGAATCAGTAATCAATTAGTAAGCAAAGGCAATCTGTTAATCAAGTAAAGATGCTTTTGTGCAGTTTTTTGTAAAACATTATTAGTGAAACTGCATTGTGATCAAATATTATCTGCGCTATTTTTGAGGAAAAAAAAGTGCGTGTTGATTATCTGTTAAAATTTGTTAAATTTCTGAACATAAGTAAATGAAATTGGAATGACAAGTGATTTTGTTAAGCACCTTTGTTTAGACAACTCTTTGAGTAGAAAGACTAAATGTGAAATTATTTGAAAATTGAATGGAAAATAGATGAATGCGAATATTAAATTGATTGTTCCTTTATGCATAATATGATGCATGATCATTGATATTAATGTGTGCTCTCAATCAAATACTATTTCCTTTATTTTTAAAACGTGGCATTTTATATGTTACATTGTTGAATTGAATGTTGTTACATATGTTAAAAAAAAACAAAGTTGTTTACCCAAGAAAGTTCGTCTTCAGATTTATCTTGTTACTTTACAATGTTGTATCCTCAATTTACAATCAGTGATTCTTCCATTATATTATTGGTGATAGAATAGACTCCCTATCTCTCATTGTAATTTAAGAAAGAATTACAAAAGGAACTACAGCAACAATCTGGATAATATGATTAAATAAATTTTTGAAATTAGAAACAATTTTTTAAAAAATAATCTATAATTTTTTAAAAAATAATCTTGTTGACTTTGATGTGTAATATTTGATTTGTTTGTTCAAGTAAATAATTTATACAAATATGATTATAAGAATATTTATCTGCTTGTGTGTCAAAAATATTTCACTCAAATACTAAAGAAGAAATTGTTATAAATAAGGTTTTAGTACTTTTTTTTCTAAATATTTTCTGTAATAAAATTTTTTAGGATATTTACTATTTTCTCAGTTTTATAAATTTCTTTTTTGAAACTTTTTTCTAGGCAGAACAGCTTTTGATAGAGTCCAGCTGAAGAGTTTACACTCAAAAAATCTTAAATTTTCTACACTTAAAGATAAAAACATTGATAATTATTTTTTATCTACTTTGATGCCGCAAAAACACATTCTCAGTGCAAAATTCAAGAATATTAAAGGTAAAGATTTCTAAATAACATAGATTCTAAAATTTAAACAGAAGAGTAAAAATTTATGTAATAAAATTAGTTAAGATACAATTATTTTGAAGCTACAAGCAAAAAGAAATTAATATTCACTATTCTAACTCTGATTGATTGTTGTTCAGTGCTGAGATTGCGAGCAAGGTGACTTCCTTTAAATTTTTCCTTAGGCAGTTTAGCTTCCTTTTGCTTATGGCACCAAAATATGTTTCTAACTATTCTTATTTATTTATGTATGCTTCTATTCTTATTTATGATTCTACGTTTTACATTCTATAATATTCCAGAACAAAAATAATCATGTTTTTTAATGTTTACTACATAAAATTGCTACTTGAACTATTTTATTCTTTTAGAAATGTTCTATTTTAATTTTTTTGTATTGTGCAGTAATTGCTTCAATTTTTTCTAGCAATAAAATTGCTTGTTTCTGGCTTATTGAATGGAAAGGTTCTCAACAGATTGTATGATTCTGTTGTTACTTTGGATTCCAATCAAAAGATTTTAGCTAATTGTATGTTTTCAAGTCCATTAAATCTTAAAGTGCTTAATGTATCAAATTTAATTGATTTGAATTCAGTTGTTGTACGTGATGTTTCAAGCTTAATAATTTCTCATAAGGAGTTTATTGGGTAAGCTTATTTGATTTTAATAATTAATTGTTTTATTAAATGATATAGTCAAATGATATATTTATTCTTTAAACAAAAGAAAGTGATGTAGGTGCTAATCTTATTACTAAGTTTTTTTCAGGGAACAATTAACAATGAAATTTACTTAACCCTCTAAGATTAGTTCTGTCTTTTTTGAATATTTAAGCTTCAGACTTTCCTGCTTAAAAACAAAGCAATTTTCCCCTTGTTTTTCATGGAGGAGGTACTGCATTGCACGGAAATTTCAGTACAGTTTTCCCCTGAGGCTGATCACTTTGAGAGCTAATTTCTTTTATATATTCTTTTGTATATTTTGAAGTATATTTGTTTTAATATTTTAGAACTCTTTTATATAAAGTGTATTTCAAAATATATTCAAAGTTTTTACAGCGATGAAATTATAGAATTAATGACGATACTGATGGTAGAAAATATTTTGTTATTTTTATCAAACATTTTGATTGAATGATTTTGTAGAAATAGAAAAATATTTCTAAAATTATAAGTAGCAAATAGTTAGAATTTATTAAAGTTATTCCAGCTGACATTGTTTCATTTGCTCTAAAACATTGGTTTTCAACTGAAGGTTTGTCTTTAGGGAATTGTTTCTCCACAAATATGTCATTTATATTATCATAAATTTGTATTTTGAGGATAGAGGAGAAGTGAGTTTTTTTTTTCTCAAGCTTTGAAGGTGATTATTAATACACAAGATATTAATAAATAAAATTTCCTGAAATGATGGAAATTATTTAAACCTAATTGGATTTTTTGGTGTTTTAAGTTGAAGGAATCTAATATTTTATAACACAACTGGATAGTATGTGGGAATGATGATTTGGTATTAATAATGATGCATATAATTTAATTTTTTCTGCATTTAAGATTTTATTGGTGTTTTTTGTCTACTAGTATTATGTTCATAATTTATTATAAAAAGTATTATTAGAAAACTGGGAGTTTTATTATTAGAAGTAAGAAGGAGGTAGCAAATAGTTAAAGTTAGTAATAGTTATCCAATTATGCGGCAGATTTTATTTTTTGATTTATCCTATTCTATTGTGATAACATTTTCTGAAATTTATTGCATGTATCTAAATTGTAAACAAATATTAAAACCCTCCATAAAAATAAAGTATATATACATCATGTTGTTAAGAATTCTTTTTAATGTTATTTACAGATCTTTCTCTGCTGAAAACTTGTGGCTATATGGCAAAATAAATAATGTTTCAATAAATGATCTGAGTATGAATGCTTTTCTAAAAAATTCTCGAAATATCATCCAGAAAGTGATTACTTTTCAGTCAAATTTTTCAACACCCTCTTGTAAGTAAAATAAATAATTTATTTTAAGTAATCTAATCACTTTTACATTTATTCATGTTTTATGGTTTTAAAACTGCTTTGTTGCTCGAAATTTTCTGCTGTTAAATGTTTCGATTTTTTTTTCTTGCCTACTTCTATTTATTTAAATACTACTTTTTTATTTTTGAAAATGTTCTTTTTTTAATAATCATTACATCTAGATTTTCAAACCTGATTTAATTGACAATATTACCAACATGATTGTGTTAGTTGCTTATTATGTGTAGATTTGTTTTTGCGCACTGTCTGTTCTTTACACATGTAGCTTGTTTAAAACCTCTTTTTTTCTTCATGAGGATACTGAAAGCTGTGATACGTCTAATTGACCCAAAATCATAAGTTTGTTGTTAAAAGAATGAAGTGATGCAGTATTATACTAAATATTAACTTCTTTTAAAGATAATTCTGGGACCTCAAATTTTGTTCTGATATGTCCTAATGAATATAGAAATAATATATAATTAAATATATTTGAATATTGTGTATTATTGTTTTTAATACTTATACACTTTTTTTTTCTTATTATAAATCAGTTTCTACTTCATTTCATAATAAGAATGTTTAGTTAAAAAGCTATTGTATTTATATCGAGTTAACTTTGTCTATTTGGTGTAAACTATACAGTTTTCTCATCAGAAAAAAAATTCTGTTTTTAACTTCAATCTTCATTTTATTTTTTTTATAAAATCTCCATGTTTTAATTCTCAAATTTTAGATTAAGTATTAGATTAACAAGTACTGTGTGAGTAACTTATAGACACATTTTGTATTTTTTATTGTAATATAATAACAGTAAAAGATGTTTCACAGCAAGAAAATTTTGATAGTGCACTTTTTTTGATAATGAACAGTCAAAAGAGCAGATTTTTTTTACTTATTTTGACTATAATTTTGTTTATAAATATTTTCACTGCAGCTCCATGACTTTTAATATTGAAATTTTAGTGCCATACAATCAATTTTTACAAAAAAAAAAAAAAACTTTATTTAAAATTAAGTGTTAGTCTCACAAGTCTTCAACTTTAAATTTTTTCAAACTCTTTCTTTTTTTTATAGTTGTAGTAATAAAAAGTATAAAGAATTTATTGTTAACATTATAAAAACTGTTACAATTAATTTTAAAACCATTTTTTGCTAGTTTGACGCATCAAGTAAATTTTATATGTTTGCGCACTTAGTACATTTGATTTAAAATATTTAAATAATGCTATATATGAGATGTAGCATAGGGAAATAAATTGTGTATCCTTACTATTATCTAAAATTGTTATATTTAAAATATTATTTTAGTAATTTATATGCTTATTTTTATTTAGTAAAGGTTGATCTGAATGCTACACTTGATCATGTAAAGTTTTCTGAGCTTCTAAAAGTTGAAGATCCACTGCATGCTGATGTATTCCAGACTTCTTCTGTTTATGTTGAAAACTTAACTATCAATGGGCAAATAAATCAATGTGGCTCATTTTTGGTTAGTAATATGCTTGAAAATTTTCTTAAGCATTTTTATTTCAAGATTTTTATTTAGAAGTTTTTTAATAACTGAAACAATATTATTTTCAGGAATTATTTGAAAGTGTATTACAAAAAAATAAAGGACAAACAATCTTCATGAGCAAGAATTTTAATAGTTTAAACATTGATGGAAGTATATTTGTGGAAAAAGATATAAATGGTTTATCAGCCCATGATATTAATCATAAATTATCATTCCTTGAAGGAGAGAATGAATCAAAGAATTATAAGTTTTTTAATGTTGGTGCAATCTGGTTGAAAGTTTCGAATTTTCTTAATGGCATTGATGTGAACTTTATTATAAAAGACTCAATTACTAAAGAGGGAACTGAGGTTAGTAATGTTCTTTTAATTTTATATTTTATATATTTTTATTATTTCATTTATTTAAATATACTACATATAGTACTTTAAGAGTCTGGATGCGAGATTTTTTAGTGTAAAATCCGAGAAACCTCTCACTTTTTTTAAAATGAAATTTGAGAATGCATATTGAATTCTGCCGAATACATAAAAAGTTTTGAAGACATTGTGAAATTAGTTTTTTATTTAACATAACTCTACAATTGTTTTTCTTGCAAAGCTATAAAAATAGTTTCAACTCCGAATGCATATCTGAAAATATATAAATAATTGAGCATACAATGCATATCAAATTTTGCTAATTTCATAAGAAGAAAGGATGCCTTTAGAAATTTACTGTGAGGTGAAACTCCGTATATTAGTACTATATACCTTTAAGATAATAACCCCTTAAAATAATGAAGCTCACTATCCAGCAGCACATTTGAATATTTAAGCATACGTTATACACTAGCTATATCTTAACATCAATATAATAACCACACAGTATTTTTCCATTTATAAATAGTAGTTTTTAAATATAAATTATTTTATTTATTAATTTTTTTTGGTTACTAGATATTACTTGACATTTAAATTCCAGGTATAATGAAATCTTTCAGTAAAAGGATATGAGTTAAACTAATTATGAACTGTGGCTATAATAATAATAAAGTTAGATAAGGTGATTCCTTCAAATGTGTGAATCTGTTAATCCTTGTGTCATTTATTTTTATCGACAGAAAAAAAGTAATAAAGTATTCGTATAATTCTGCATAGCTGATTAAAAAAATTCGAAAAATTTATTCTCATGAAAACTACATTAAAATAATAAAAAAAATCTTTTGCCAACTGTTAATAAAACGATAAGATATAATCAATACAATTCTAAGCTTTTGCTTGTTAATGAAGTAAGTTTTTCTTCAGATAATTTTTAAAAATTTTTATGTTAAAAAAATTCTTTTGTTTAATGTGTAGGTTGTCTATTAATTTTTCGTTTTTAATGTTTTTATTATAATTATAAACTAGATTATTTTTTATAAAGCAAAATGTTTATTGAAATTTAAAAAAAAAATTAACTATTTAACTATTATAAGCTCTATTTATAAATATTATTCTAACCTTTACTATTTTTTTGAAAAATTAAATAAGGACTGTAATTTAAATATTAAGAAATATCTAATAAAATAATAAATAAATTAAATTATATTTAAAAAAATTTGGGTAAGAAATAGTTCTGCATGAATGTTCCAACTCTGGACTACTGTGTCACTAGTGAAGAGAAGATTCAACTGGTTTATAAAATATGCTTGAATTTTCAAATGCGTTTTCCTCAAAATTGCCTGGTTAGTGTGCTATATTATTTTAAAGGAGGACCACCATTAGTATATACTAGTACTAATATACCAGGCATCATCCCGAAGTGGATTACCCAAGTCTTGTTCTCTCCTAGTTAATAATTTTAAGGACATTATAAAATTTGTTTTCAATTTAACATGCAAATTTGCGAATTATATGTTTCTCAAGTTATTTTTCTTTCAAAGCTATGAAAATATTTTTATACCTAGTATTATAACTTGGCTTATATAATGCATTTCGAATTGTGCCACATTCATGCTAAGAAGTTGTGAAGAAAAAGTGAAATCATTTGTACATGCTAGAAACAAGCAGGGCTGATTGTGCTCCGGAAAAAAGCCGGATTTCCGGATTTTTCGCTAACAGTGATCCGGAAGTTTCCGGAGATCGAAGGTCCAGACGTTTAAAAAAATCATTGCTCACAGAAGTTTCCGGAAATCAAATTTTCAAAAGTGGAACTTAAAAACACAATTTATTTTGTTTGTAAGGGAGAGCCAGATACATTTTTTTATCAGTAAATAGTTATAATCATAAACTCAAGAAAGTAAGACATATTTGTAAATTTTAATTACTTCTCCTAGAAAAACCTAGTTTAAATTTTTTTCAATTGAAATTTTTTTTTTTTTTAAACTCGGGAAATTTTCCGGAATTTTGACTTGGGCTCACAATCACCCCTGAACAAGTCATTATGAGAAAAAAGCCATTTCTTAATAAAAGCTATAAAAATATTTTTAAATCTTTAAGCCAAAAAAGGGTAAAATTGCACAGAATTTCACCCTTTATGTTTTTGTTTCCCATTGAATAACACATGCAGCATCTCTTTGAATAACCATAAATAAATAAATAAAACAGCCTTAAGTTCAGATAAAGCCTGAACTAATGCTTAAATTATGTGAGGAAAGACAATATTTGAAGCTTTTTTAAGTAAAATTGATACAGAATTCATAATTTTGAATTATTAAGCCAGTATTCTATGTTTTTTAAAATCCCTTCTAAGGCTTAAATTGTTTTCATTCCATTTAACATCATACATGAAGTTTCGTTCAACTTTTAAGCTGTTTGCTAAATATGTTTGAGTATTTATTAAAAATGTTTATATATTGTGGTATTATTTGAAAAATTTATTCTGATGAATTTAATATATTTTACTTAAATATAAATGTTGCAAATTCTGTTCTTGTGTTTATTTTCACTTTAGGAAATTGCTGGTAGAAAAAAATTCACAAATTTGTTTCTGAAGAGTTTAAATGTGTTAAACGTGAAGTCTGATTCCATTTGTGGTGTTGATATTGTATTGCTTGCAAGCAACTATGTAAGCAGAACAAAGAGAAACCAGAAGTTGTTTTTATCGAAACTTCCTAAGATGCATGTGAAAAATGCTATTTTTGAAAGTGAGTTAATAAAGTGATGCATATTATAAATTATTCATGAATTGTGTGTGTTAAACTTTAGATAAATTTTTATTTTTGTGCAGTAATAACCGAAAACAATATCAATATCATCAACAGAGATCGATCTAAAATCATTCAGAAAATGCTTAAAAAGAAAAGGCAAATTTTTCGAAATTTAATTATGGTTGAGATTTAAATTACAAGCATTATTTTAATTATGATTATAAAATTCAGAGGTGTTATTACAACATTTGTATTTTTCAAATATTTAAATTTTTAGGAATTAATAGGTTTGTAACTGTGACTACTTGTTCAAATCTTTTCATTGAATCTCTGTTTATGCAATTCAAACAAAAAACCATAAAACCACTGAAATTTTTGATAGACTGATTTAATTACTTTTTAGAATAATTTTTTATTTGTTTTTCAAGTTAATTTTGATGTCCCCAAGTTTCCTCTTTATAAATTAGTTCTATGTAATATTTTTCTAATGTTTATAAATTAGTAAGTAATCTGCTAGATCTGTTATTAAAATGTTCTGTTATTACTAATCTGTTATTAGAAAGATGCAGAAAATTATCAGTATTTACAAATATTTAATATGATTTGTGCATTATTGCATACAAGATATTAACACTTTTTGAAAGTGTTAAAAAAGCATTAAATTGTAAAATTAGTGTTTTTTTCCAACGATGCTTTGTAAAAAGAAAATTAATGCACATAATTTTAATAGAACCTTTAACACTTGAAAACTTCAGTATATTTAATAGTATAACTATTGTTGGCATAAAATAATATTTTAAATTTTGAAAGAAATATCAAACTATCAAAAGAATGTAGCAAATTTTTTTTTTAACAAGTTCAATTACGTTATAGTACTATTGATTAAGTACCTTAAGATTTTATTTTTGTGGAAATGCAGGTGCATAAAACTGTTCCATTCCTTCATTGAAGAGTTAGACATTATTTTACAAAGTGTTTATCATTCACAATAAAGTTATTTAACATCAAGAGATAGAGAGAAAGAATAAACATGTTACATAGTACGTGTTACATATAGAATAAACTTGAACTTGAAAGAACATGAAACTACAAGACCTACAGCTGTATAGAAATAGGAAATGACATATTGATTAATTCATTTTGTAGCATTGCTAAGTGAAAGAAAGATATTTCTTACTCTCAAAACAAAAGTAATTCCCTTTATATCTGATAACAAAATGACAAAAATTATCAATCATATTGTTTTTTTCCTTTACTTATGAATACTTTTCCGAATTCTATCAAGGTTATCACTTCTATGAATTTAATGTTAGCTGTGCTAAAAAATTAATACTATAACTATGTTCTAAATACTGGCAAATATGCTGGCTTTTTATATACATTTTCAAAATGAATATACAGGATGATAATAAAATAACTTTGCCTATATTTGTTCCCTGGCAAGCTTACCATTTTAGTTAATAGAATAAAATTTTGAATAATTTTACTTTAAGGCATGCAACAACAAATAGTGTTTAAAAAGATTATCTAGATTTAAGAGTAATTTAACTCAAATAATGTTATGTTTATTTTTTTGCATAAAATATATTTTTCATTGTTATTAAATATAAATTTCATAAATCTTTTTAAACTTAGAATATTATTTAATTTGACTTGGGAAAGTCAGATAAAATATTTCTTTTTGAGTTATAAATTTTGAAAATAAGGTTGTGCTACTAATTTGTAAACATTGAAGTTCTCTCATTGTAATCATAACAGTCAGTGATGGATAACTCACATCCAACATTTGAGATTTGTACAAAATAATTTTTGAAGTAGTAATGAACTGAAACAAAAAACTTTGAAACAAATAGAATTTTTACAATTTACTTTTATTAGGATTTAAAAGCATAGCCTCTTGTTTACCTGATCTTTTATATACTTTATTAAAATTATAATAAGTGATGCACAAAATACTTTTAATTCTAATTTATTACAATATTAATATATTACCTTTACTACCACCAGGAAAAATACTTTTAGTAGTAATAGATGGATAACTGTTTCTAACACTATTCTCGAGTAATTCCTTTATGCCCAATCTGAAACTGTGTTTGCCAGTTGGTCATATATTAGCAAAGTTATTTTATAGTCATTCTGTATGTAAAAATAGATATAATGCTTATAGAGTTATATGTTCTTATGTTATATGTTAGTATATTCATATTATGTTATATGCATATAGAGTCATACTTTGTTATATTTTTTTCTATTTTATAGAACAATTAAATGGTCTGAAATTGCCTGAAGATTTAGTCTTAACAAACAGTGATGAAATAATAGCTTTCCCTGTGTACTTTCAAAATGCAACTAGAATGTCTTCTGATTTAATTGTTTTTGGATCTTTAGATGGTGTTAATATTTCTCAGTTGTTAAGAAATAAGGTATCTTTAAGTGATTTCAGTAATCTACAGTCAAGTTTAAAATTTCTTGACAATACCAATATTTTGGGTAAGAAAAAGCAATTATTTTACTAAATTTACTAATTTTTTAAGAATTTGGCCATTTTTGATTAAAATGAGGTGCGAATCAAAGGGATGAATAACGTCTTTAGTACATGTTCTACATTGAACATTAATTTTTTATTCATAAAGTTAAAATATCTTTGTATGTCACGCAATCATTTAATTTTTGTTAAAATAATATGTTAAATTTTAGCACGTCTTTTTATCATACTTTCTTTTGGATTTTGTTTTGTTTGGTATTTTAGTGTAATGAATAGAATGTTATGCAGATTAACAATATCACAAGTATTCAAATTCTTTTGGACAGCTTTGTGGCTTGAAATCTTTTCATTTTAAAATGTTATCTTTTCTTTATATGATAGAGAAATTAATAGAAAGATTTAGAAATTTGAAAAAAAATATTGGTTATTTATTTTTACTCTAAAATGGTTTTAATTCTTAAAATTGTGAAAGTAACAATTTTTGTTTCGATTTGAGCACCTTTAAAAGAATATTTAGTCATTTAAAATTTGAAATTTTTTCTTCATTCTTAAGTTATATCATACAATTTCATTGTAGATTTAATTAATTTATTTGAATTTAGTGCCCCTTACTCCTTTTTTTTTGTTGGTGTTCTCATTTGCCTAATTTTGTTTTTGAATTAAATATAGTTTTTAGCACCATTAGTTTTTTTATTTTGTGTAGAGTACACGTTGTAAGTTTTTTTTTTTTTCGTGAATTTTGTGCAGTATTGTCACACTTGGTTTTTGTGTCAACTATAATTTTTTTCTTCTTCATTCCATATAGATTAACCCAATAATGGGGATAAGAAAAAGAAACTAACTTCTTTCTTTCTGGTTGGCGTGTAGAAAGTTCGTAAATTATTGTAGAGTGTGTCATGTGTCACATAGGAATATCATAATCGGGCAAACTTTAAAAGTATATACCTTCGTTCAAAAAATATCAAGCTGTTCTAAAAATTTTTGATGAAATAAATCTTAGTGTTATTTGCATTTATTCCAATTTATAGTAAATTTCATTTGTTTATAAAATTTTTCAAAATTAAATACTGGGTGTTGCTGATATAACAGAATATGTTATGTCTGTAAAAATCATTTTTCCAATTTTCTTAAAAATTTTAAAATTCTACAACTTTTGAAAAATTGGGAGTAAGTGTAAATTGCTCTATATTATTATTATAAAATATGTAAACATTACATACTTTATAAAATATTACAAATTGTGTTATCAAAATATGTCAACAGATGTTTGTTTATAAATTTTATTCAATGCAGAAATTGTTTTGAATCTTCTAATTGTAAATTACTTTTTAGGAAATTTGGCTATCAATGGATTGGTGAATAACATTCATTTTTCGAACGTTATAAAATTGTCTGGATTCTCAGTTGTTCATTCTAGAAAAGCTTTTAACAAGCATTTGTTCATACCAAAAATCACAGTGCTTGGATCTATTAACAATAAATCTGTAAAAGCTCTTTCACAAATTATTAGTAAATATTATGAAGCTGCAAATTTTTCAAAATTGGTAAGTATCAAAAGCATCTTGAATTTTATTTTTATTTTAAAAAAGTTTCCTTTAAATGAAGTAAAAATTACATTGTTTGAAAAAGAGAAAAAAAATTGAAGTTTAAATAATTGTTTTTTTAAAATCATGACTGAATCTCAGTTATCTGCGGAATAAATATTTATCGAAGATAACCAATTTTTTTAGAAAAGTTCTTCTGTATTAGTTATGGAATAACATGTTTTTTTTTTAATATTAACTTTTTTAAAGTCCTATAACTTTTCCTTTTACTTTTGAAAATTATTTTAAAGCGCAATAATTTATGATGTCTTTAAATTAAATTTTTGTATTTTTAGGGTTTGAACATTTTACTTGAATGGTGTGCTTCAATCATCATTCTTATTCTTTTTATCAAATATCAAATTAGTATTTAAATTTAAGACTTCCATGAAATATTTTTTTACACACTAAGAATCAACTAACTACTAATCTATACTATATACCTACTAACATATTAGGTTCAAATCATGTGGACAGTTAATTCTGCTGTAAAACTGCCTATTGAAATATTTGAATTGTACTTAGCCAAGTGGTTTTATCAATGTCTTTTAAAGTATTAAGAGTTATTTATTTGCATAATAAACATGTTTTAGGTTCAATTTTTTAACTTGAATCTGTCATCTTTATTGATAACTGATGATGTAAATGATGTACCAATGACTAATTTGTGGAACTCTGTCCATATTGTTGAAGAAAAAGTGTATGAATCATTAGATAAATTTTCAGAAGTTATTAATCAGCACAACAAAGATCTATATGATATTGAAGATGGAGTTAATTGTAAGTGTATTATTTATTTATATATTTTTGCATTATATTCTTTCTGTATTCATTCTTTTTTATATTCTTATTTTATTCATTTTATAAATAAATGCTTACCAAGTGATTTTAATGGTCATGATTCTTCATAATTCTTATACTTTATTGGGAAATTCATAGTTCATAAGATTCTTAAACATTTATGAAGCTCTTTTTTTTTACTAAACTATTAAGCATGTATAAAGTGGTAAATTTTATTTTACTTGTTTTAATGCAAACTTTGTAGTCTTTCTTTTTAATCTGTGAAAAGAGTTTTTTTTCTTTTTTAATGTCAATATTATGTGACTATAACTCGCAATTTTATTTATTAACTTCATTGCTTTACTTGCTTTTAGTTTGTTTATTTAGTATTTTTTTGCTGGTAACTTGCTTTACTTTTATGAAATGAAGTGAATTACCAGATCCGATTTATATTAGGTTTTAATTTTAAATGAGAAGTATATTTTCACAAGCCTAGTTGTCGTATATTTATATTTTCTCATTGAATTGAGTCTTAATTCAGTGAAATCTCTTTAAAACATATCTTTACAATGCATAAACTTCATGTTCTACTTAGGCTAGTGTTTGAGTTACAAACAGTTCATGCTGTGTTCTTAAGTGTTTTTGGAAGTGCAGTCGCCCTAGCTGTCCCTTGATCCCTATAAGTACGACCTCTTTAAACTTTTTCTAAAAATGAGCTGCCATCCCTTAAATCCTTTTACTCATATAACATTTTTAAAAGAATTAATTACTTACTGTTCAAATAATAATTACACACTGGTAAAATTATCTTTTTATAGGTTTAATACTTATTAGTATTACAAATATTTACTTCGTTTAGAATTATTCTCAACTGGTTAAATTTTTATAAGTTTCTCTTTTTTTCAGGGTGGGGAGGGATATATTAACTTTTTTAAGTGATTTTAAATTTTAAAATTATTTTTTAAATAAATACCTTTTTTTTTTAAAATGTGTCTTTAATAATTTTTTTTTTATTTTCAGTTTAAATTATAGAAAAAAAAAACTTTAAAATTGTTTATCAAAAAGTCGTTTTTTTTCTTTCAGTTTTCTTTTCTTTTTTTCTTTTTTTTCTTGAAAAAAATTGTGCTCGGAGATCGATTTTTATTTTTTTAAAAATTGAAAATTTTCTCCTGTTTTGATAATGTGTGAGAATTAATTTTTCTAATATATACATAAAATAGTTTAAGAGAGCTATTAAAAGACTGTTGAGGATCAAACTTAGTTCTTACATAATATTACACAATTTGATAAATTTTTTCTGTGTTAAGTGACTGAATGCCTTTTTTTTGTGAGGAAGCACCCTGCCCTTTTCTATTCCTAGAGAGAACAGTTGCATAAACTTTATGCAACTGTTTTCATCAATTTGATACTTGAGACTTTCAGACAAATTAGGCATATTTAACTATTAAGGTGGCCAATTTAATATATTGTTGCGTATTGTACTTTACTTTGTTATAACTGGTGGGCCGATTACAGTGTGCATGCTGAGAAAATTTTCATGTTTTTGATTTATAAATCATAATAAAGAGAGAAGTAAAAACGGAAGTACGTGATCTGTATTGGCTGGCAAGCTGTTCAACTTTCAGTCCTCTATTGTTATTTTCTAAGAGATATTTTGTTGATTATAATTAATTGTGGTTTTTAAAAATGGCTATAAAGTGTATATTAATCTTTTTTTAGTAAGATTTTTAATTTTGAAAATTGTTATTTACACTTTGATTCACTGATTTCAGAGTTAGAATAAATGTTAATAAATGTATATATTTTTTTTTTGTAATTTTGCTAGTTTTCTCTTTATAAAGTATCATTTTTGGTTTGTTTTTGTTATATTTTTTATTGTTTTGATTTTTCCCTGCTATAGTCATTTTATATGGAGTTTGAGTTATATTCTTCATTTTAAAAGCATTATTTTACTTGAAAATTAAATTTTTTCACTTCAAATTAATGTAAATTTTGCATTGAATCTTGTTATTTTAAATATTTTCCCATAACAAGTTTCGATGTTCAATGTAATTGACATACAGCTTTTGGACAATAGGCATTCTTTTAGTTTAGAGAATATCAAAAATTTTTGAAAATTCAATGATNGACTATAACTCAAGATTTTATTTATTAACTTCCTTGCTTTAAGTTTGTTTATTTATTATTTTTTGCTAGTAACTTGCTTTACTTTTATGAAATGAAGTGAATTATCAGATCTGATTTATATTAGGTTTTAATTTTTAATGACAAGTGTATTTTCACAAGCCTAGTTGTTATATATTTATATTTTCTCATTGAATTGAGTCTTAATTCAGTGAAATCTGTTTAAAACGTATCTTTACAATGCATAAACTTCATATTCTACTTAGGCTAGTGTTTGACTTATAAAGAGTTCATGCTGTGTTCTTCTTAAAGCGTTTTTGGAAGTGCAGTCGCCCTAGCTGTCCCTTGATCCCTATAAGTACGACCTCTTTAAACTTTTTCTAAAAATGAGCTGCCATCCCTTAAATCCTTTTACTCATATAACATTTTTAAAAGAATTAATTACTTACTGTTCAAATAATAATTACACACTGGTAAAATTATCTTTTTATAGGTTTAATACTTATTAGTATTACAAATATTTACTTCGTTTAGAATTATTCTCAACTGGTTAAATTTTTATAAGTTTCTCTTTTTTTCAGGGTGGGGAGGGATATATTAACTTTTTTAAGTGATTTTAAATTTTAAAATTATTTTTTAAATAAATACCTTTTTTTTTTAAAATGTGTCTTTAATAATTTTTTTTTTATTTTCAGTTTAAATTATAGAAAAAAAAAACTTTAAAATTGTTTATCAAAAAGTCGTTTTTTTTCTTTCAGTTTTCTTTTCTTTTTTTCTTTTTTTTCTTGAAAAAAATTGTGCTCGGAGATCGATTTTTATTTTTTTAAAAATTGAAAATTTTCTCCTGTTTTGATAATGTGTGAGAATTAATTTTTCTAATATATACATAAAATAGTTTAAGAAAGCAATTAAAAGACTGTTGAGGATCAAACTCATTTACTACATATTACACAATTTGATTGGCTAGAAGACATTTTGTTGATTATAGTTAATTGTGGTTTTTAAAAATGGCTATAAAGTGTATATTAATCTCTTTTTTTTAATTTAGTAAGATTTTTAATTTTGAAAATTGTTATTTACACTTTGATTCACCGATTTCAGAGTTAGAATAAATGCATATTTTTTTTGTAATTTTGCAAATTTTCTCTTTATAAAGTATAATTTTTTTTGGTCATATTTTTAATTATTTTGATTTTTCCCTGCTATAGTCATTTTATATGGAGTTTGAGTTATATTCTTCATTTTGAAAGCTTTATTTTACTTGTAAATTAAGTTTTTTCACTTCAAATTAATGTAAATTTTTATTGAATCTTGTTATTTTAAATATTTTCCCATAACAAGTTTCGATGTCCAATATAAATGACATAGCTTTTGGACAATAGACATTCTTTTACTTTAGAGAATATCAAAAATTTTTGAATATTCTGATGTTTATGGATATTGTAGTTTTTTTTTTTTTTTTTTTTTTTTTTTTTTTTTTTTTTTTTTTTTTTTTTTTTTTTTNTTTTATTTTATTTACAAATTGCATATACATTCTAATTATTACCTTGTTTTTCATTAAATTTATAAATGCAACTTATATTTTATAATTTTTTTAAAAAATTTCCTTTAAAACCTGTTAAAATTTTTAAAAGCATTTTTTTAAAATTTTTTTTTTCGTACATTAAGAATTTTAACATCCTGTCTATGCTTATTATCTGTTTTCATACTAAATATTAATTTAACTAAACTTTAACTAAATATTAATACTAAAATATTAATTACGACTTGTTTTTTTCATTCAGGTTTATTTCTACTGAAAACTAAATGTTCACTGGTTTAGATTTTTGTTTATATGTAATCGTGTTTTTTCATATTTTTTGAAAATATTAAAAAGAACTTTTTTTTTTAAATGACATTATAAATTTATAAAACATAACTAGTTCTTGTTAAATTTATATGATTTGTTACATGTTTATATTTATTTTAATTATTTTGAAAGACTTTGTAAAAACATTTCAAAAACTCTACAGTCATGTAAATATTATTTTAAGCTAATTGAAACTCACATAATTGAATTAAAAATAAAGATGAAGTTTAAAAATATCTTCTAAGTATAATTTTTATAATTTGTGGCTTAATTTATTTACTTTTTAGATCATCCTTCTTCATTTGGTTTCTTTATATTACATCAGTTGTTGAATGTTGGTACCTCTGTCCAGGCATTACCTTTTTATGAATCTGGAGTGTCTGGGTAACTAAGTTTTCCTTATATAAAAAATAATTTCAATTTTATATTTCTTATATGTGTCTATTATTCTCAGAAATAATTTAATAAATATGTCAAAATCAATACTATTAGACATTTTCAAGAATTTGTGAAAACTTAAATTCAATAATATTTGCAAAATAAGAAATAAGTAGTTATTAAATCATAAAATTTATAAAATCGATTTCAGTGAAGGCTGTTTGATGCTTCATAGTGTGGGGGCAGGCCTACTATGATGGCCAGAATTTCATTTCAAATGCGGCTGAAATTGGAATTAAATTATATTTTTCTAGAAAACTTTTAAATTTATAATTAATGGTATTTTTTTAAAATTTTATTATTTGAATTTGTTAATTTAACCATTTTTAAAATAATTTAGTGTATATAGACGTACCAACTTCTTTGAAAACAAGGTTTTCAACAGGAACAAATTTATGCTTCANTTCTCAGAAAAAAACTCTCTTTTTCAACAACAAAAAAAAAGAACATCACTTCTCGTGTGTGTCTCTCAAGCAACATTATTTTAGCATTACCTCTCGAGGAATTGATGCTTTTAGCTCAGTTGTCACTCTGTTACGTTACAATGGTATTTTTTTTAAAATTTTATTATTTGAATTTTTTAATTTACGCTAATTCAAAAGTCAAAGTTAAAAATTTGTTTTGAAAATTCCTATGAATTTTTTCATTGGCAGAAAAAGAATACAACAGATGTGACCTGTCTAAAGAGATAAGTTTCTTCAGTGAGCAAATTTTTTACTTCAAAAGTGACCTAATGTTACAGTTGACTTGCAGAAATTGCCTACGGTCATATAGTGTTAGAAGAGGTACTAAAGATTTGAGTTGAAAGAGCCTGTTTCTGTTTCATAAAGGTGTAACATATAGTTTGCCAAGAAGTCCACCATTCATGCCTTGAGAGACAAAAAATTCAGTCTCATTGGTGCAAAACTGACCTTGAAAATTTTTACAAAAGTTTGCATTATGCTAGCAAAACTGTGGAGGCCATTTGCCTGTTATGCTAATCTATATTAAACCTTATGCTGTACACTTTATAAATCAATTAATATTTTTTTATCAAAATTTTTTTTGTGAGTTTTGTGACAGCCTGTATTTGTATTGTGAATAATTTTCTATTTGAATCAAATATAATTTGTTGTTCAGGGACACAGAAAATTTTGTTGGAGAGTTAATCCAAAGTACCTATATTATGCTATGAAATTTTCATATTCTTCTTGTAGTCTTTATACACTAGCGATTTTTATAACCTTAAAAAATAGCATAATTAATATTTTTTTTAATTATTTTTTTGGAGTGCACAGTATATAGTTTTCTCTGTTAGCTATAAAATTCAACTTTTCTGTTTTTTATTTTTCAGTTTCAATTAATTCTTTAAAAAACAATCTTCTATCTTTGCCCACCATTTTTTATAACTCATCTGGTCAGCACCCAAGACATGTAACAAAATTGTCCCAATTTACCATCATTTTGCAATAAAAACTTTCCCTTGTTTAAAAAATTATAGTGAAGGAAACTATGAATTGTATGTATTTTCTAAGTTTTGTAGCTGAGATGAGAATTTTGCCAATGTTTTTTCCTCTTTTAAAGTTGTACTCAAACTTTGGGAGATAATTTATTTACACCTTATTACAAAAAAGAAAAGATTTTTCTGTTTTATTCATAATATGTAAACATGCAGGGGAAAAAAANGCAAATGACCTGCTGAGAAGCAAATGACTAAAGAGAACCCCCAACAAAGAGGGTGAGTTCATTTGTGAATTTTCTCTTCTGAAAAACTGAGGATGTTAACGGTGGTAAAATTTCCACTGCTTCGGTCTTTAAAGAGTTAAAGTTGTACTCAAACTTTGGGAGATAATTTATTTACACCCTATTACAAAAAAGAAAAGATTTTTCTGTTTTATTTATAATGTGTAAACATGCAGGGGAAAAAAAACTTGCTAATTTTTGAAAAAAATACTTGTGTGTTAAAATGTCAGATACTTTATAATGTCATAGGAGGGAGGGGTTATGACCCCTATGTCCCCCACTTTTGTTATTCACCTATTGATGTTATTTTTAAAACAAACACTGATTCAATGGATATTTTTTCTAGGAGTGCCTCTGATGTGTTTAGTTTGCAAATTATAATATGGACAAAACAAAATGCGACATGCAGTTATTTTAAATCCACAATCATGGACATACATCCAAATGGCACCCTTGAAAAAAGTGACACAGTAAATGGAAGGCTATTCCCTTTTACTCTTGGACTGTTTGAAGAAAATGTTAAGGGTCTCATGTTTCATTCTGACAGACGTATACCGTAAGCTGTGTATTTTACTTTTCTTTTAAAAAAGAATTTATTTAAATTGCTTTAAAAAGGCATATTTTAGTTTTTCCTGGTTTGTTATATGTTACCTCTTCTAAAGAGTTTCTTTCAAAAATCTTGAATCAATAAAGATAAAAAATACTGTAAATCTTAACCATTTTTGGTCCTACTTTTATTTCTAAATTTTCTGTCATGTGTGTGTTTGCATTATATTCTACTCAAATTACCTTGATCACTTTATCTTTTAAAATTTTTAGTCTGTATTTTGTGTAGCAGTTTTAATCTCTTAACTTCATCTTTCCTTTTTATGCATATCTAATTAAACAAGTTTAAAAAAAAAGCAGTTTTATTGATGCATTTATGCTTTATTAAAAATAATTTCATTAATTTTTCTAGCACTGAAGTTTTCAAAAAATTTACGCTTCAATATTTAATAAAAGCTTAAGTTTGATAAACATGAAGTTATTAAATAATATTTTTCTTTTCTTTTTGTAATGCCTAAGTAAAATGCAAGTAGTGGACAGTTTTATAAGTCTGTTATATTGTAAATCTTTTAATAGTCATTTTTATGTATTATATTATTATTCTTATTAATCTACAAAATGTAGATATAAGTTCACGTTTGTTTATTAGTTCTGTTCATTATTTTATGTATAGAGTATTCTGAATAGAAATTTAATAAAATTTAAGATTGGGTTTTTCTTATTTTTCTATTGACGGTTGCTAACTAGCTAGCTTTTAATTGTGTACATGTAAACATAATTTTTTTAAATATGAAAAAAATAATCACTTTTTTAAATACAAAATATTAGAATAAATATTTTGCAACAAAAGTTATCACAAGTTTGTAAATACTTACTCAAGTTTACAAGTTAATCAAACAGTACAATAAGTTATGTAGAAATTGTTGAGTTGTAAGTTTTGTTAAATTTGTTATTATAGGTGCATTGGAGAGGATAAAGAAAATGTAATTAAAACTATATATTTCAATGGAGATACTCATCCGAGTACAATCACAACACCTCATAACTCTGAAGTTGTAGATGCTAAATTTATTGAATTAGACACTGGTGTTTTTCTGCTAGTTGCATACAATATGAAAAGTAAGTATTAAAAAGTACATTTTTTAATGTTTAAGCAGATTTGTTTACTTTTGAGAATTAAATGTTTGTCGTAAAAAGTGTTTTTAATCCTTAATTTAATTTTATAGGGGACGGGGAAAAACTTTACTTATATGAACATGACCCATTCAAAGATATTTGGTCCATTCATCAAAAATTTCATTCCTGGAATATTTCTTCTGTTGATATCATGTATCTTGATGATTTTGATTCAAATGAAATATATTTGGCGGTCACTGGAGATGGCACAGAGTCCGGAATTCATCTTTATACCTGGGACTTTGATGACAATTTGGTATATTAGATAATAGCTTAATACCTGGTCTTTGTACAGTATAAAGAAAATCACGAATTATTAAAAACAATATTAATCAACACTATGCAATCATGCACAAAACTGAGAAACATATATCAAAGCAATTAAGGCAATTTAAGTTAAAGCAATTAAGGCAATTTAAATAATTGAAATTTTTTTAATTATTATTTTTTGTCCTACCTGATGATTAGATGTTATTAGATAATTATGTAAAACATGTTTTTAGAAGTTTTCACAAATTGTATCTGTGATCAAAAACACATTGACAAAACTCACTCTCAAACTTCACAAAAACACTGCTGATCGACTTTTTATTTCAACTCGTCAAAATAAAGATACTTAGAATTATTTGGCCACAAAATTATACTATTGATTATTTAACATAAACAAATAATTTTCCTGATGAATTTTCACTTAAGTAAATAACTTAATTTTTATATTCCAATTGATTGCAGTTGATTTTTCATTATTTATAGAAATATTAATGTATATGTTTATTGAAACAGATTTTAAAGAGTAAGTACTAACAAAGTAATCGCATAGTTTCAGATATTTTTCTAAGAAATGATTCATTTACATATTTCATTAATTTTGCTTTAGCTTACCTGACATAATAAATTAAAAATGAATAATTATTAAAAACTCGCCAGTAACTTTGTTTCTGATTAAACAATGCTGTAAGATGATAAATGTCACTGATATTATCTTTGAAGTAAGTGAAAAGAAAAACTCTGCAGTTTAATTTGTAACAATCTAGTGTTAAATTAATGCAAAAATTCATTTTTAAATGTCCTCATTGAATGGAATAATGGTAATTTTTCAAAACTATTTTCTTAATCAAAAGGCTAAAATTGCTCCCTTCACTCACTGTCTAAATTTCATGACGCTAGCTTAAACAGTGCTCAAATAATGTCAAATAAATGTAGGTTCGTTTTGGTACTTTAATGTAGTACCTTCTTCAGAGTCAAAACACACAAATTCTGAGTTTCAATACTGTCAGTTCAAATGGCACTTACCCAATTACATAATGAAATTTTATTGATGTTTTCTTGTTTTTTGAAATGATTAGTTTATATGATTTATGAATCATGTTTAAAACTAGTTTAAATGTTTTTTTTTAACAGTTTGGCTTCAAGTTTGACATACCTGAGTCTACAGCAGGCATTGTGTTGTGGGTTAGAGTTGACAAAAGCATTTATTTACTCCATGCGGAAGAAAAAACTATGGTCCAGCAGAACCATGTCTGGGTTGATACTTATACTGAATCAGTTAAAGTATATCTTCTAGATGATCTTGATGATTTAATTGTTGATCATACTATTAATGTTCAAGGTATAAGTTCCCTAGAGCAGTTCAAGTTATTAGGTATGCTATTTATAGCTCATTACTCAAATTTGTTTCTTAATTTTTATTTTTCTGCAAGTATTTTATAGTACTTTAAATCCTTTAAACATATTAATATTTTTCTTCTTAAACTTTCTGCTAACTACTTTGTGTTTAAAAATTTTAAAACACTTAAATTTTAAAATTTGAGAATGTAATTTTAATTGTTGTTGAAATACTCATATCCAGAGAAGTCTCAAATTTCTGTAAGCCACATTTTAAATGTGAATAGCATTTTAAGAAATAGTTTTTTTTAAAGAATATATTTAATGGTAAGTTGTATTATTATTATTAAAAAATTTTTTTTGTTGCAAACAATATGATGTTGATGTATTTAAATTATTGTGTGTTTAAATTTTAAGACATTAAAAGTTTTGGAAATTTTATAGTTAAATTTTTAAGGAATGTAATTAATTTTATTTGAATTAACTTTAATTTTGATCTAACAAACTTGCATTATTTTTTTATTGATGTCCAAGTTATCCGGTCGCTTGTACAATATCAATGTCGCTTGTACTTCCTAAAAATATCAATGATTTAAAAAGAAAATTAGTTTAATTTCCTTTTACCAAATTTGCATCGTTGCAAAATTCGTCAACAGATTGAACTGCTGATGAAAAAACTGTAAAATCATGTCTTTGAAATAACCACAATAGTAACAGTGTAGCAAAAAATATACGTAGGGGAAGAAGGCTAGCTTACATAGGCATAATGTAAACCAGTCCCCCAAGGTTTGGTGTGGTCCCTGTGTATAAAGGAAGAAATAAATATTTAGAAGCACAGCAGCTGAAGTTCTTGAAACATGTTCCCACCCCTCTTCTCCCCACCACTATTGGGGTTGAGGAGAAGAAGATTTTTTTTTTATTTATTTATTATTGGTCTGCTCTATATTTTTACACTATTGATAAATGGTGCTGTACTGATAATAAAGGTATTCCTTTGAGAAACCATTTATATCATCCATGTTGATTAAATCTGCTGACACATTTTGATATAGATAGAAAGAATGAAATAGGGGTTGACGGGAAGCAGTGTACCTATAGTTTGTCTAAAATAGAAACTCCCCCAGACATTTGTCTGGACGTGTGGCGGTAACGAGGTATGACTATTTCAAGTAGTGGTGCGGGTGACTGTTTTGGAGTGGTTTCGGCTCTGGCGCTCGGGTCGGTGAGAAAAAGGGAATCTTCCTTCAGTGTATTGTGTTAGTCCTAGAGTAAAGCTATTCTCCCTAAAATGCACCATTCTTGTTTCCATAGCACCAGACGGCCTCAGACTTTGTGGCGGGAGAAGTTCTTTGCTTAGACAAACTATAATCATACATTTAGAGTTTGCACAACAACTGGTTCATAGACACTTTACTTCTTAAGTGCATGTGCTGGATCTTAGTACATATGATGCTCTCTTAAATCTCAGTATGTTGTTTTTCTAATATAGCATACCAAACTGAGCAGTTCCTAGTGTTAGTAGAGAGTCCCTCTAAGAGCTGGACTTCTTTTCCTTTCTATATTCTTTGAATGTGGGGTGACCTGAGAACAAAAATTAACAAAAGTATGTGCAAAAGTTTTAGTTGATAATCAGCAGAAAACATTATTTTATATAAGTTTTTCTCAGCAGGGCTATTTATTAACAAAATTTGTAATTTATTTTCAAATTCCAAAATTGTTTGCGTTTCCTGAGTAGAAGCCAGCAATAATTATTTTCAGTCTCCTTCCATTTTACTTCAGGTTTCAAATAATCGGTCATTTTTGGAGGCATTCTATTTTATTATTAACTAAGAATTCCCTATGTAAATGTGTTTATTGAGTATTCCAGAAACGTTATTTTTCATTTTAGGAGAAACATATGTTCTTGGAGTCAGTCACCATTCACAAATGGTTTACATAATTCAGCATCGTGGTTTTAATGGTTTTGAAGTTATTCAAGAAATAAATGCTCCTGGAGTAGTTCATGCAAAGATATACGTGACACCAAATCACGATCTTTTTATCATAATAAGTTCAACAACAGGCCATACACGCATTCTGAAATCTGCTATTCGAGGCAGTGCTCATGTGGAGTAATTATAAACAAATTGTCATGCGAATGTTTTAGTTTAAGGTTAATCAAATAAATTCATTTAATATTTTTTGTCCAGGTTTTTTTATTCATTTATATATTATTTGTTTGAGTTTATTTCAGTTTTTTGGTTTATACAACGTTTTTTTCCAGTTATTACTTTTGTTCTATAAATTATTAATTACTTCTGTGTATTGTTTTTTTTTATCAATTTATAAATAAGACTGAAAATTATATCTAGTTTTTTTTTGGTTAATTATAATTAATTTAAAATAAACTTCTGTTATTAAAAGTATAAATTATGGTTTTGATTTGTTAATTATATTTTTATTGAATTTAAAATTTTTTTAACTCTAAGTTAAATGGGCATGAAATTAATGACTGAAGTATATTGTTAAGTTTTCTTTCTTTAATTGTGTATTTTGTTATAAAATAAAGTTTTTAACATGTTTGTGGGTTATATTTTGTAAAAATATAGCTGCTCTAAAAATATTTTAAGAAATAAATTTTTTTTTCTGAAATGTTTAATCATAGTTACTAGATGTTGAAGATGTTTGCAAAAATATAGAATTGATATATGCAATACTCTTGTGGGCGTATAGCTATTGGTCAGCATCGGTATTTAAGTGACGGATTGGTGTCAAAACCAATTTGTTACTTGGACTGCGTGGTGGGTGGTGCCGCTGTTAGTGGAAGTGGTTAATGTTTTCTCTGGTTGAAAATGACGAGGTGCTCAGTTCCGCACACCAAAGCAAAAACATTAGAAAAAACTGCGAGCATAAGCAACGTCGTATGCTTATGCTCGTTTTTTTTATGATGACTTTAAATAATCCTTCTGGTCGAAATATATCTTTTAGTAAGATATGGCCTATCTTAATACATAAGGCACTTCTTTCGGTTTTGAGAGAAGTAACTATGTCAAGAAGTAACTATGTAAAGAAACTGTGTTCAAGTGATCTGTTAATTCAGGTCTATTCCAAAAAGCAGGCAAAAATTGACAACATGCACAAAAATCTGCTCATTTGAGGTCACCGTTATCCCGCATAAATCTCTTAACACTTCTCGGGATGTTATATATGAATTTGAACTTCTGAATGATGGGGAGGATATGATATAAGAAAACCTGAAAGACTAGCATGTTGTAGAGGTTTTTAGGATTAAGATTTGCAGGGATGGTGATGTCAAAATTGCATGGTTTCACTGTCCTGTACGACCCTAAGTTCTAAATCCTTTGAGATGCTTTCAGTGTCACAGGTTTAGACATTCGAAGTTATCCAGCCGAAGTACATCTGTTTATACTCGCTGCTCTTCTCCTGGCCACTCAGACGTTTCCTGTGAATTACCGCCCCATTGCAGGGCAACATACTCCAGAAATTGTTCAAGATGCTCGCAGGAGAAAGAAATACACTCTGTGAAAGTCTCAGAAAATCTGACATTTCATGAAGCCCGCTGATTAGTTATCATCTTTCCTGGTGTGTCCTACAGTGGCAACTAAGATCTCAAATTGCCCAGTAAGTACGCAAACAGATACCTTCATTATCTACCTCACAACAGACTAAACAGAAATGTCAATTGAATTTCACTGGACCATCCACTTCTCGTAGACCTGTTTCCAAATCTCCCCCTCCGAAAACATCTCGCATCTCATCCCCAGATAAGTCTCAGCCTGCCCTTAAGCAGAGTCCAAACATAAAACTTCCACCTAGTCTTAAACCTGTCTTAAAAAAAAGATCCAAAAATTTTCACATCTTTACTCTTTTAATGTTTTACAGAGGATGGACGATGCTGTAGTGTTACATCTATTGGATAACAAATCTATTTTCGTTGACCCACCAATTTATGTCTCCTATAAATCAAAACCTGAAATACAAAGGTAATAACAATTTAAATCGCTTCGATTTGTAACATGCGTTATAAGATCTCTGGCATAAGATATTAATATCACCCTTTGTGTTTTTCGCTTCAAGCATCATCTGACAATTTTAACTTGACTATCGCTGCCATCGAAGTGATTTCGTTGTTGGTAATCGAGTTAACAGTGGTATTGCGCTTTTAACTTCGACATATTTCCCATCAACTTTCGTTTCCTTGTCAATTTCACCACACGTAGCCTTTCAAATTCATAATATCTTCCTTGCAATCTGCTCTGTGTATTTACTCATAGCCACCGAGAATCTAAGCCTCTCAATAACTGTGACGTCATCCTCAAGAAAATTATAATAGTTCAAATCTGACACTTAATTTAAGCGGCGAATCTTTAGTTCTTTATTAGAGTAACTCAATATGTATCACGTTATAACTCAATAATATGAACATGCAGAACTATTTGATGTTTTGAAGCAGCTTTATTTGCATTTCATGATGGAAAAGGATTTTAAAATAAAAGTTTTCCTTTGACTTTTAAATCATGATTTATCAAAGCTATTTTTAATATCAAAAGAATGAGCATCATTCAAATGTATTACTTCTTATTTTCTAATGTGTAATGAATCATGTATTAGAAAATAAGAAATGATACTTTTGAATGTATAGACGATTACGAGATTAAAAAATACGACAGATTATGTTAGAAAAGAGACAAAAAGTTATTGACACATTCATAAAATTGTTATTTTAAAATAAGCTCTAACGAATTATTTCAGAACCATGCGAAAAACATTGAAATTCTAAGTGGAAATAATGTAAACAAACACAACATTTATTTACAAATAAACGATTCATATATTAAAATGAGGCAAAATAATTTAGCAAAGTATTTTACTCTTAAGATTATAAAGCTTTAAAATAATATTTTTTATTTTCAAAAATAAATTTAACTTTTTGTTTTTATTTTTCAGTCGTCAACTGGTATAAAATGTTAATTATCAGTAAAAAACAATTTTTTTTAAAAATTACTCTTGTTAAATATATATTAAACAAAATGTTTACTCATTTGAAGTTGCAAAGAAATTCTTAAGGGAGGAAAAAAACAAAAATGTAATCGAAATCTGCCAAATTACATTTAAAAAAAGTACCTACATCTACATAAAAACCTGTTTGATTTCAGATTGAAATATGGAGATGTTTTTAATTAACTTTTTTCATCTTCTCTATCCTTCCGCAATCAAACAGGTTTAAGTATTTTATTCAACTGTGATTTGTCAGATTTTGATAGTTTTTGTTTTCATTTGTTAAAGCATCAATTTGCAATCCATAATATGTTAACTTTCTAAACTTCACCTTTGATAAGGAGTAAATAAAATTTTATTATGGGCGATATTTATGGAATACACTGTATCTAAAAATATGAGAAAAAATTCTTACCAATAAAATTCTAGAACTCATCTAAATTTTAAAAAATAACTTCTCACTGACTAAGAAGTCAAAGTATTCTCAAAACAATATATATATATATTTTTAAATAAAATTAAAATAAACATCTTTTCAGTTTTAGACCTGCACACATTAAACCACTGACGTTTCTGCATGCAAAAAGTAATTTAACCTGCAGTCTTCTCCTCATAGCAAAACCGGGTATTCCATGTTATTACTTGTAGATCGAGAGATAGTGTAATGGTGAGAAACATTCTACCAATTTTGCCCATTTGCTAAGCCGCCTGTGGGTTGGAAAGTAATTTTTTAAAAATTAGTAGTATGGCTCAGATCTTTGAAATATTCAGACAAAAAAAATACGTATAAAAGTTTCCAAATTTTCAAAGCTGTAAATTACAGCGATATTGTTCGTAAAAAATTTTTTTTTTCTTTCTTTTCAGCATTATAGTTTTTGCAGTATTTTGTTGCATTCATTTACTTGTATATCAATTATAACACTTTGTATGGTTCCCTATATGCAAAATTAAAAAGAAAAAAAAAATATCGAATGCAGATATAAATAAAATGCTGTAAAAATTTTAACTTTCAAAACGCTTATTCAATGTTTAATTTTATCTTGGGCTAATTGTGAAAAAAAATTAGCTTAAAGTTCTTTCTTCAACAGAAAAAGAAATTCCTTGGGATTCTAATAACATGCTATCAAAAAAGCATACACGTGAAAAAGTTTTATTTTTGATGGAAAAACCACTGTCTTTTTTCGAAAAAACGTTAATAACTTAATAAATGATACAGATAGAGAAATGATTTATTTCCAGTGTGTTTAGAATTATGTGAAAATTTAATGTAAGCAATAAATTATGGTTCAATACTTTCGCTTATATTTGACTCCTTAAAATTATATTATAAAATCTAATAACTAATTTTAATGTCATAAGAAATCATTTACGACATCATCATAAGATACTCTAAAGCAATTTATCTGTCTAAGAAAGAACCGTGCTAAATGAAGCAGTTTGATTAAAACTAATTTAAATTATTACCCAAAACAATTTAATTGACAAACTATGACTTAAGTTCCTATTTTTTATTATTATCATTGAATGTGCAGGAATTTTTCTGCATTCAAGTAAAATATTTATGAAATTTAAATGAGAATAATAGTATACTATCATTAAGAATATATAAACTTCAAGTGCCAATCTATATTCTTATTAGCGTGTTCTCCTTTCTTTTAAAAATAAAACTAAACTGTTCATTTTACTCGTTCTTAAAAAAATAAAAGTTTCAGCTCTTTAATGACATCGGAAATTTGTTGTTGTTGTTGTTAATTTACGTCGCACTAGAGCTGCACAATGGGCTATTGGCGACGGTCTGGGAAACATCCCGGAGGATGATCCGAAGACATGCCATCACAATTTTGATCCTCTGCGGAGGGGATGGCACCCCCGCTTCGGTAGCCCAACGACCTGCGCGCGAAGTCGAGCACTTTACGGTAGCACAGTTTAACGAGGACCAATACCGCACACCCTCGGTCCCTACGCAGACTGATCCAAGTGGTCACCCACCCGCACACTGACCGTAGCCAGTGATGCTTGACTTCGATGATCTGCTGGGAACCGTGTCTTAACGATCAGTCCACTGCGGGACACATCGGAAATTTATTTTCGAGAATAGTTTTATTTTTGGTACGAATTCATAAATATTTGCCCAAAACAAATGATATTTAAATTTATTTTATTTCACGGCCAAAAGTTTTACAAAATTATAAATGTTTTGTTAATCTTATAATATCTGCTAACAAACACTAAACAATACCAAAACATTGCAATTTTTTAAATAGGTCTTTTATTATGTAATTAAGAAGCTTTTACGCTGCTGCTTGATAAATGTCGCGTTTAATTGAAGATATCCATTTTTGTATAAATTCATTTTTGGGGAATTTATAAACCAAAATCTTAGGCCCATTTTTATAATTACCTTTACATTTCGGTACTATACATACAGCGTGCTTAAAATTTAGTTAATAATAGATATAAAAAATAGCATAAGAGACGGCAAATGAAGCTGTTGTTCACTGTTCAATGACAAATATTTAAAATAGGTGGTTACTCACATGGCCCGACATAGCTTGATTGGGGCCGGGGCAGAAACTTCTTTTGGGCCCCCTATTTGCTTCAGTAATGAAGAATCGAATTTTATAGAAGTATTTAAATTTTTGACCTCATTATAGATATATAACCAGAAAATTGACTAGAGCCTAAAATAGCTATAAAATCCCCTCCCCCCACCTTCAATCGTCAGACAAAAAATCGTTCTGTCCATTTCATTGATTTTCTGATAATTCTATGTTCATCATGCGATGGCAGTTTCCTAAATGCAGTTTTCTGATTGTTACTTCATCATTTAGCTGCGAAAAATTCATAACCTTGCTGACATTTAGGCGGAATTCAACAAAATTTTTACAATTACGATAGCTCAATTAAGCCAATCAGAAACCTGTGTTTTCATAAACATATCGCATTTTGCGATATCTGAAAATACAGGGTTTTAATTGTCTAATTTTGCCCTAGAAAGCCATGGATTTACGAAATATGGATTTTTTGTGTTCATACGATAGATCAGAGGTCGCCAAAGTGGTCTATATGGACCCCCAGGGGTCTATTTAACAAAAGCGGGGGTCGATCTGAGACAGGGGGGCGAATGGGGGTCGATCCGAATCGGAAGGGTCGATTGTACGTCGAAAAAAAAAACAGTTCTCAATACGCAAATCACACATGCCGAATTAAGTATGTAAAATTTGCGAATTTTTTTTTTTATAATTGACTCAATATCAGTTTCTTTATAAAACATAAATTAATAAACGTATATTTATTGGGGTGAAACAAGTATTTACGTACCACCGCGCAGTGGCACGAACTCAGCGCACTTTATAAGTCATATACATATGTGCGCTTGTCCAAATGTCACGTGTGACGAGCAATGACGTTACAAATGCAGATATCACACGCAGTTTCAGCTATCTTTGCAAACTGTGTTGAATATTTGCAGTGTCACTATTAAAACTTTTATAGTTTTGGATAATTAGTTATTGTTTCGATAAAACCATTCGTTTGGTTTAGATATCAATTTTAATTATCAATGCACAAAAAGGAAGGTAAGCATTAATAATATGGATTAGTACAGCCTGCGACAAAACTATAGCACACTTTGTATTTTTTTACGAAAATTACAAAATTGACCAATTTTGACGAAAATTAAAATTGATCAATTTTGAATCCAATATAGCGAACCTTGCAAAAAAACACCAGGCACACCCATCTCATTGATCAAGAAGCAGTAAATCTTTACTTATTATATCTACTTATGCATAATTACTTATCATTTAATAATAAGGTATTTGAATTGCAATATTAATATATTTTTCATAAAACTATTGTTGCACAATGTACTATTACTTTAATAAATGTTTAAAAATCATAAAATAAATGTACAAACTCAGTATCTAATAGAGTTTTATTTAAATTAACAGAAAATTACTTCTGTGGGGGTCGATGGAGATTTCGAAAAATTATATAGGGGTCGATGATCAAAAAAGTTTGGTGACCCCTGCGATAGATTAATGAAAAAGCTAACAGAAAACTGACGGATTTTACACTGTACTGATATTTTGTTTAAAAAAAGTTCGTCCCGAAGTGGACTGATCGTTAAGACACGGTTCCCAGCAGATCACCGAAGTCAAGCATCACTGGTTGCGGTCAGTGTGCGGGTGGGTGACCACTTGGATCAGTCTGCGTAGGGACCGAGGGTGTGCGGTATGGGTCCTCGTTAAACTGTTCTACCGTAAAGTGCTCGACTTCGCGCGCAGGTCGTCGGGCTACCGAAGCGGGGGTGCCATCCCTTCTGCAGAGGATCAAAATTGTGATGGCATGTCTTCGGATCATCTTCAGGGATGCTTCCCAGACCGTCGCCAATAGCCCACTGTGCAGCTCTAGTGCGACGTAAATGAACTACTACTACTTAAAAAAAGTTCGATAAAGAAGGAATCGTAAAATAAATTTTCTATCCGATTTCGCCCCCCCCTCTGATGTGAGGGCCCAGGGCTACTGCCCCTTATGCCCCTGCCTTAGTCAGGCTCTGGTTACTCAGTTAAAAAGTACATAAAATTTTATCGTTCGTAAAATGTTATTGAATTGACAATTTTAACTAGTTTTTATTTAATTATCACCTTTGATTGTTCCTGCACCCTATTATGAATGTTTAATGTCTTTTTTTTATGGAAGTGTATTATGCACTTTACTCTTTGACCTGTAAAAGCATGTTGCTTGGCGTAGCATGCCCTCATTTAAACCTTGTCTTGTGCCATAAGACCCTACGTTCAATTTAATTTAGCGTTCCAACGAACAGCTGTCTTGCAACTATTCTAGGAACAATGGAAATACTTTGTTTTAACCCAACAAAATATTATTAAAAAAAAGAAAGTAAAATGTTTTATTTTTGTGAAGCTGCCTTTTGCACTTTGCGATGTTTAATGTGTTGAGTGTCACATGTATTTTTAAGGATATTCCGTGAGACCACATGCGCTGCTTGGAAGCTCTCGTATTATGGTGTGGCAAAGCACACTATTAACAGATGAAAATAAATAAAGCTTTTATTTGTAATAAATAACAATTATGCAAATTTTAAGTAAATTTTCATTAATTTCTTAAAACGATATTAATTTTTTCAGTTTTATATGATATTTTACACTGTCAGTCATCGATTACTGCCTAAACAGAAAGTCCAGCATCAATCACCTATAATTGGCATGTCACTCAACATATTAATGCAAATTTTGTCAACAATCCAGACAATTGAGTTGATAGGTAATTGAAAAGATATTGCTACTTTTTTCTTTTTAAATTTTTTCCTTATAAAGAATTTTTTTTTCGTGATTACTGAGCAAAAACAAACGTCTTGGAAAAAATTTCCCCTACACCTTGGAATGTTCTTTTTAAGACCCCTATAAGACCCAACTTAATTCGAAAAATCTTACTCTTTATAGAACTTATTTTATCAATGTTATCTATGTTTTTATTGTAAGCTTTCATAACCATGCATTATCAAACAATTTAGAGAAAGGTTGCATCATGTGACATACGTGTTTAGATTGAAATAATTTTGAAGAATTTTATAACCAATATATATCATTAACTATGTCGGCATATAAATAATAAGCAATTATGAAACAAATTTAGAAAAAAAAAATTGCAAAATGGAATTTAAGATCAGAGATAGTTTTCGGTAATAATTTTTTTAGGGTTAAAATTTAGCATCAAAAATTTTATGGAAAAAAATGTTCTATGCTTTTTCGAGACAAATTTTTTAAATTGTCTGCATTTTAGTAATTAAGCCTTTTTTTTTCTTTTTATCTGTTGTAGATAGTTTATTTTTACTTATTCATTTTCTTTATCGTATTTTAGTTTATCCTATTGTTTTTATATTTATCATATTTTGTTTGTCATATTTTATTTATCGTATTTTAGTTATTTTGTAAACAATATTTAGTAATTTTAATAAAAATGAATTACCATTATTTATAATAGAAAATGAGAGACTCAATAATTACCCTGAGATAATTCTTGAAATTTTTCTTTATTATTTGATAGCATATTAGTGCAGCCTAGTATGACGTTAGCAACCGAATTAAAACCTCATCATTTAAATTTTAAGTTAATTTAGCTTTAAATTGCAAAAACGACAATTACACATACTTTTCTTTCGATCGTTTTATTCCAACAACTGGAGACATTCATTGATACATTTACAAATTTACAGTCAAGAGGAACATAACAAACATTGAAAACATTGAAATTTAAATAAAATAAATAAGTTTTTTACATTTTCAGTCCAAATTTTTAGTAGGGAGCGTAGCTGTCACTTGGGGGGCCTGAGTATACAGGAGGTTGATATGCTGGAGCAGATTCTTGGTAGATTTTTGGTTCTGGTTGGTAAGGTTTGTATGCAGGTTCAGGTGCTGGCCTGTATTCGGGTTCAGGAGCGTAGTGAACTGGAGCTGGTTGGTAGGCTGGCTCAGGGGCGTAAACTGGAGCTTTGTATGCTGGTTCTGGAGCATAAACAGCTGGTGCAGGTTTGTATGGTTCTGGAGCTGGGGCATACACTGCAGGTTTGTATGGCTCTGGAGCATAGACAGCGGGTGCTGGTTTGTAAGGAACTGGGGCTGGTGCGTAAACTGCTGGTGCTGGTTTGTATGGAGCGGGTGCTGGTTTGTATTCTGGAGCTGGTTTGTATGGAGTGGGTGCTGGTTTGTATTCTGGAGCTGGCTTGTATGGGGAAGGTGCTGGTTTGTATACTGCAGGAGCTGATTCATATTTGACTGGAGCAGCATCTGAGTGAACATCAGTATCAGCAGAATCTTGGTTGTCGGTTCCAGGTTCGTTAGTTTTGATTACAGCGCGAAATCCTTTTTCATCAGCTACGTAATCAACTTGTCTGTAAATGCCATAACCATCGGTGTATCCATAAGATCCTTTCTTGTTACCATAGTCATCACTTTCTTCCTTTCGGTTTTGTGTAGCACCATACTCATCTTTAACGTCGTATCCAAAAGCATATGGTTGGGGCTTTTCTTCCTGTTGATAAAACATATATATTTTTTAAATAGAATTTTTTTATAAGCATTATGGTTCTTGTCATCTCAAAAGAAACGTAAATAATAATGTATTTGCAATATTATTTGTGTTTGAGTGGATCCTCTAAAAACAACTTTGTTTATTGACAATTATTTATCATAATTTCTCAAGGACCAGGCAGACATTGAGATTACGGTTCTGAACTAAGACAAACTCGATTCGCTTCTTATCAAAATTTGCAAACGAATAAGCAGCATATAAGCGATTATTTGAATATGAACTTGTTTTTTAGTTTCAAAATTTTTATAGTTAAGAACATCTCTTACCGAGAATATCAACGTGCTGCTAAAAGCTATGAAGTATGGAGGTAGCGGGTTCGAATCGCACCGTAACCCTTGATGTATATTAATCCTTACGGTTCTTCTACTTGAGAAGCCGTTCTTTGTATTTAACATTCAAACTCACATTCGCGATGAAGCCCAAATTATATACTTGCATATATAAATTAGGCCTTACTGATGAGCAATTTCATCCGCCTGATACTCAATAGCATCGAGGTAGTGGGTTCGAATCTCGTTGAGACCCTGGATGTATCTTCGAGCTGTCCTTTAATTTGTGCCATATATTCTACAACTTGACAATGGCTTATGAGCTGTACTCTATAATGAGATCATAAGCCTGCGTGCGTATGGGTAACAATAAATAATTGAATAAATTAATAAAAAAAGTAAACTAATTAGAAAGGATTGCTTAACGAGGTTTAGTTTTGGTAAAAATCTTTAATTCTCGTCATATCTATTGCTGCTACTTCATAGGATTGTACGAAATGTAAGTATACCTTTATACGTGATTGTTTCCTTCATTTTAAATGTATATAGTTAATTGTTTATTCTATTTAAAAGTGTAAGCTGTTTTTATCTACTTCTGATAAACAAAAACTATGCAAAAAACTGTTATGTAAATGTTGTGAAAAAGTATTAAATTTAAGTAGCAGTTCTAAATTTTTATTAGATAGTACCGAATTCTTTGAAACTTTTGCCTTCATATTTTCCTTTTGATTTATTATGNTGCATGGTTTCGCTGTCCTGTACGACCCTAAGTTCTAAATCCTTTGAGATGCTTTCAGTGTCACAGGTTTAGACATTCGAAGTTATCCAGCCGAAGTACATCTGTTTATACTCGCTGCTCTTCTACTGGCCACTCAGACGCTTCCTGTGAGTTACCGCCCCATTGCAGGGTGCTCATGCGACATACTCCAGAAGTTGTTCAAGATGCTCGCAGGAGAAAGAAATACACTCTGTGAAAGTCTCACAAAATCTGACATTTCATGAAGCCTGCCGATTAGTTATCGTCTTTCCGGGTGGGTCCTACAGTGGCAACTAAGACCTCATATTGCTCAGTAAGTACGCAAACATTTACCTTCATTATCTACCTCACAACAGACTAAACAGAAATCTCAATTTAATTTCACTGGACCATCCACTTCTTGTAGACCTGTTTCCAAATCTCCCCCTCCAAAAACATCTCGCATTTCATCCCCAGATAAGTCTCAGCCTGCCCTTAAGCAGAGTCCAAACATAAAACTTCCACCTAGTCTAAAACCTGTTTTGAAAATAAAATCCAAAATTTTCACATCAGTACGCTTTTGATGTTTTACAGAGGATGGACGATGCTGTAGTGTTATATCCATTGGATAACGAATCTATTTTCGTTGACCCGCCGATGGATGTCTCGTCTAAATCAAAACCTGAAATAAAAAGGTAATGACAATTTACATTATCTCTCTTGGATTTGTGGCATGCGTTATGAGATCTCTGGCATAAGAAATATCACGCTTCATGTTTTACGCTTCAAGAGACGCATTTAACATCATCTGACAATTTTAACTTAAGTATGGCTGTCATCGAAGTGATTGCGTCGTTGATAATCGAGCTAACAATGGGGTGTCGCGCTTTTAACTTCGACATATTTCTCATCAACTTGCCTTTCGTTGTCAACCTCATTACAAGTTGGGTCCGTTCAAATTCATAATAGCATCTCCCTTGCAATCAGCTCTGTGTATTTACCCATAGCCACCGAGAGTCAAGACCTGTCAGTAACTTAGTGACATTATCCTCGTAAGTGATAGGGAACACCCTAATCAGATTTGTATTAAGAGAAAATTATAATAGTTCAGATCTGACACTTGATTTAAGCCGCGAATCTTTAGTTTTTTATTTGAATAACTCTATATGTATCACGTTATAACTCAATAAAATGAACATGTAGGACTATTTGATGTTTTGAAACAGCTTTATTTGCATTTCATGATGGAAAAGGATTTTAAAATAAAAGTTTTCCTTTCACTTTTAAATCATTCATCAAAACTATTTTTAATATAAAAAAAGAATGGACCTCATTCAAATGTATTACTTCTTATTTTCTAATATGTAATTAATCATATATTAGAAAATAAGAAATGATACACATGGTGCGTAGCGTTTTTAAAAAGTGCTTAAAGGTGCTTATTTTCGATTTTCCTTACTTAAGAGCCCTTAAAGGTGCTTTTTTCATTGGGTGTTTTTAAAAAGTGCTTAATTTTCCCTTTTCAAAAGTGAGATTCTTTTGGTTACCAAGTCAAGTTTCGCCACGTATTATGCAAAAGCTTGCTTTTGCATAATACGTTCAACGTTTTCACAATTCATTTCGGTGTACCGTCGGTCCATAGCGTATGAAAGCGCCAATCATTTTACATGTTTGATTGAAATACTTGCGAGTCCGTTTGTGCGTCAACTTAGCTAGGTTCGGTGAGATTATTGCCTTCTCATGAACAACTCTGCTGGATTTTGCAAGATATTCTCACTTTCAGATTTCATTTTCCACCCTCTGATATCGAACCGAAAAATCTCTCGATCATTTTATAACGCAGAGGTGATTGTGCTCCGGGAAAAATCCGGATTTTCAGATTTTTCCAGAGAAGCAGATTTTTCGCTAACCGCGATCCGGAAATCATCGATCACACTTATGTATAAAAATCCTTGTATATTTTATTTAAAAATATTATAACTAGAATTTATGCTTGACATCTCTTATTTATAAATATTTTTTCTGATAGAATAATAAATGTGATTAGAGATAAAAGTAAACTAAATACATAATTATTACCTAATTTAAATTATGCTGCATATAATTTATATAGAATTTCACGTTGTGAAAATATCAATAATTTAAATTTATGAAGACATTAATTTTTTGAAATGCGTCTTTAATGATTTTACTCAGAAAATTTTCAGGATTTTTTATATATATAAATTTCTCAATTTTTAAAGCTGTAAATTTCAGCGATATTTTTCGTAAATTTTTTTTCCTCTCCTTTTTAGTATTATGGTTTTTGCAGTAAATCTGCGCATTCATTTGCTTGTATGTCGATTATAACATTTTCTATGATTCCCCTATATGCAAAATTAAAAAGAAGAAAATTCAAAAAAATATCGAATGCAGATATAAATAACATGCTGTAAAAATTTTAACTTTCAAAACGCTTATTCAGTGCTTAATTTTATAATAGGCTGATTGAGAAAAAAAATTACCTTAAAGTTCTTTCTTCAACAGAAAAAAAAATTCCTAGAGATTCTAATAACATGTAATCAAAAAAGCATGCACGTGAAAGTTTTATTTTTGATGGAAAAACCATTGTCTTTTTTATAAAAAACGTTAATAACTTTATAAATGATACAGATAAAGAAATGAATTCTTTCCAGTGTGTTTAGAATTATGTGAAAATTTAATGTAAGCAATAAATTATAGTTCAATACTTTCGCTTATATATGACGCCTTAAAATTAAATTATAAAATCTAATAATTATTTTTAATGTCATGAGGAATCATTTACGACATCATCATAAGATACGCTAAAGCAATTTATCCGTGTAAGAAAGAAAACAGTTTGATTAAAACTAATTTAAATTATTACCCAAAACAATTTAATTGACAAACTGTGACTTAAGTTCCTATTTTTTATTATTATCATCGAATGTGCAGGAATTTTTCTGCATTCAAGTAAAATATTTATGAAATTTAAATGAGATAATATTATACTATCATTAAGAATATATAAGCTTCAAATGCCAATCTATATTCTTATTAGTGTTCTCCTTTCTTTTAAAAATAAAACTAAGCTGTTCATTTTACTCATTCTTAAAAAAATAGAAGTTTCAGCTCTTTAATGACATCGGAAATTTATTTTCCAGAATAGTTTTATATTTGGTCCGAATTCATAAATATTTGCACAAAACAAATGATATTAAAATTTATTTTATTTCACGGCCAAAAGTTTTACAAAATTATAAATGTTTTGTTAATATTATAATATCTGCTGACAAACACTAAGCAGTACCCAAAACATTGCAATTTTTTAAATAGGTTTTCTTTTATTATGTAATTAAGAAGCTTTTTAGCTGCTGCTTGATAAATGTCGCGTTTAAATGAAAGTATCCATTTGTGTATAAATTCATTTTTGGGGAATTTATAAACCAAAACCTTATGCCCATTTTTATAATTACCTTTAAATTTCGGTACTGCACATATGGCATGCTTAAAATTTAATTGATAATAGATATTAAAAATAGCGTAAAAGACGGTAAATGAAGCTGTTGTTCAATGACAAATATTTAAAATAGGGTGTTACTCACAGGGCCCAACTTAGCTTGATTGGGGCCGTCTTTCTTTTACCTTCTTTCGGGCCCCCCTATTTGCTTCAGTAATGAAGAATCGAATTTTGTGGAAGTATTTAAATTTTTGACCTCATTATAGATATATAACAAGAAAATTGACTAGAGCCTAAAACAGCTATAAAATCCCCTCCCCCCACCTTCAATCGTCAGACAAAAAATCGTTCTGTCCATTTCATTGATTTTCTGACAATTCTGTGTCCATCATGCGAAGTCAGTTTTCTGATTGTAACTTCGTCGTTTAGCTGCGAAAAATTCATATCCTTGCTGACATTTAGGCGGAATTCAACTAAGTTTGTACAATTACGATAGCTCAATTAAGCCTATCAGAAACCTGTATCTTTGTAAACATATCGCATTTTGCGATATCTAAAAATACAGGGTTTTAATTGTCTAAATTTGCCCTAGAAAGCCATGGATTTACGAAATATAGATTTTTAGTGTTTATACGATAGATTAATGAAAAAGCTAACAGAAAACTGACGAATTTTACACTGTACTGATATTTTGTTTAAAAAAAGTTAGATAAAGCAGGAAATGTAAAATAAATTTTCTATTCGATTTTGCCCCCCCCCCCTCTGATGTGAGTGCCCAGGGCAACTGCCCCTGCTTCAGTCAGGCTCTGGTAACTCAGTTAAAAATTACATAAAACTTTATCGTTCATAAAATGTTATTGAATTGACAATTTTAACTATTTTTAATTTAATTATCACCTTTGATTGTTCTATCTTGCACCATATTATCAATGTTTGGTGTTTTTTATTTTATAGAAGTGTATTATGCACTTTACTCTTTGACCTGTAAAAGCATGTTGTTTGGCGTAGCATGCTTTCATTTAGACATTGTCTTGTGTCATAAGACCCTAACTTCAATATAATTTAGCGTTCCAACGAACAGCTGTCTTGCAACTATTCTAGGAACAATGGCAATACTTTGTTTCAACCCAACAAAATATTATTAAAAAAAAAAAAATTAAAATGTTTTATTTTTGTGACGCTGCCTTTTCACTTTGCGATGTTTAATGTGTTGAGTGTCACATGAATTTTTAAGGATATTCCGCCAGACCACATGCGCTGCTTGGAAGCTCTCGTATTATGGTGTGGCAAAGCGCACTATTAACAGATGGAAATAAATAAAGTTTTTATATGTAATAAATAACAATTAAGCAAATTTTAGGTAAATTTTCATTAATTTCTTAAAACGATATTGATGTTTTCAGTTTTATATGATATTTTACACTGTCAGTCATCGATTACGGCCTAAACAGAAAGTCCAGCATCAATCACCTATAATTGGCATGTCACTCAACATATTAATGCAAATTTTGTCAACAATCAAGACAATTGAGTTGATAGGTATTTGAAAAGATATTGCTACTTTTTTCTTTTTAAATTTTTTCCTTATAAATATTTTTTTCCCGTGATTATTGAGCAAAAACAAATGTCTTAGAAAAGTTTCCCCTACACCTTGGAATGTTCTTTTTAAGACCCAACTTAATTCGAAAAATGTTATTCTTTATAGAACTTATTATATCTATGTTTTTATTATGTTATCTATGTTTTTATTGTAAGCTTTCATAACCATGCATAATCAAATAATTTAGAGAAAGGTTGTATCATGTGACATACATGTTTAGATTTAAATAATTTTGAAGAATTTTATAACCAATATATATCATTAACTATCAACTATGTCGGCATATAAATTAAGCAATTATGAAACAAATTTAGAAAAAAAAATTGCAAAATGGAATTTAAGATCTGAGACGGTTTTCGGAATTTTTTTTTTTAGGATTAAAATTTAGCATCAAAAATTTTGTGGAAATTTTTTTTTTAAAATGTCTGCATTTTAGTAATTAAGCTTTTTTTTCCCCTCCTTATCTGTTGTAGATAGTTTATTTTTACTTATTCATTTTCTTTATCGTATTTTAGTTTATCCTATTGTTTTTATATTATCATATTTTGTTTATCATATTTTATTTATTTTAGTTATTTTGTAAACAGTATTTAATAATTCTAATAAATATGAATTACCATTATTTATATCAGAAATGAGATAATGATCCTAGTACACCAGTCCTGAGGTAATTCTTGAAATGTCTCCTTATTATTTGATAGCCTATTAGTACAGCCCTAGTATGACGTTAGAAACCGAATTAAAACTTCAGCATTTAAATTCTAAGTTAATTTAGCTATAAATTGCAAAAACGACAATTACACATACTCTTCTTTCGATCGTTTTATTCCAACAACTGGAGACATTCATTGATACATTTACAAATTTACAGTCAAGAGGAACATAACAAACATTGAAAACATTGAAATTTAAATAAAATAAATAAGTTTTTTACATTTTCAGTCCAAATTTTTAGTAGGGAGCGTAGCTGTCACTTGGGGGGCCTGAGTATACAGGAGGTTGATATGCTGGAGCAGATTCTTGGTAGATTTTTGGTTCTGGTTGGTAAGGTTTGTATGCAGGTTCAGGTGCTGGCCTGTATTCGGGTTCAGGAGCGTAGTGAACTGGAGCTGGTTGGTAGGCTGGCTCAGGGGCGTAAACTGGAGCTTTGTATGCTGGTTCAGGAGCATAAACTGCAGGTTTGTATGGTTCTGGAGCTGGAGCATAAGCTGCAGGTTTGTATGGTTCTGGAGCATAGACAGCGGGTGCTGGTTTGTAGGGAACTGGGGCTGGTGCGTAAACTGCTGGTGCTGGTTTGTATGGGGCGGGTGCTGGTTTGTATTCTGGAGCTGGCTTGTATGGGGAAGGTGCTGGTTTGTATGCTGGTGCTGGTTTGTATGCTGGTGCTGGTTTGTATACTGCTGGAGCTGATTCGTATTTGACTGGAGCTGATTCGTATTTGACTGGAGCAGCATCTGAGTGAACATCAGTATCAGCGGAATCTTGGTTGTCGGTTCCAGGTTCGTTAGTTTTGATTACAGCGCGAAATCCTTTTTCATCAGCTACGTAATCAACTTGTCTGTAAATGCCATAACCATCGGTGTATCCATAAGATCCTTTCTTGTTACCATAGTCATCACTTTCTTCCTTTCGGTTTTGTGTAGCACCATACTCATCTTTAACGTCGTATCCAAAAGCATATGGTTGGGGCTTTTCTTCCTGTTGATAAAACATAGATATTTTTTAAATAGAATTTTTTTATAAGCATTATGGTTCTTGTCATCTCAAAAGAAACGTAAATAATAATGTATTTGCAATATTATTTGTGTTTGAGTGGATCCTCTAAAAACAACTTTGTTTATTGACAATTATTTATCATAATTTCTCAAGGACCAGGCAGACATTGAGATTACGGTTCTGAACTAAGACAAACTCGATTCGCTTCTTATCAAAATTTGCAAACGAATAAGCAGCATATAAGCGATTATTTGAATATGAACTTGTTTTTTAGTTTCAAAATTTTTATAGTTAAGAACATCTCTTACCGAGAATATCAACGTGCTGCTAAAAGCTATGAAGTATGGAGGTAGCGGGTTCGAATCGCACCGTAACCCTTGATGTATATTAATCCTTACGGTTCTTCTACTTGAGAAGCCGTTCTTTGTATTTAACATTCAAACTCACATTCGCGATGAAGCCCAAATTATATACTTGCATATATAAATTAGGCCTTACTGATGAGCAATTTCATCCGCCTGATACTCAATAGCATCGAGGTAGTGGGTTCGAATCTCGTTGAGACCCTGGATGTATCTTCGAGCTGTCCTTTAATTTGTGCCATATATTCTACAACTTGACAATGGCTTATGAGCTGTACTCTATAATGAGATCATAAGCCTGCGTGCGTATGGGTAACAATAAATAATTGAATAAATTAATAAAAAAAGTAAACTAATTAGAAAGGATTGCTTAACGAGGTTTAGTTTTGGTAAAAATCTTTAATTCTCGTCATATCTATTGCTGCTACTTCATAGGATTGTACGAAATGTAAGTATACCTTTATACGTGATTGTTTCCTTCATTTTAAATGTATGTAGTTAATTGTTTATTCTATTTAAAAGTGTAAGCTGTTTTTATCTACTTCTGATAAACAAAAACTAAGCAAAAAACTGTTATGTAAATGTTGTGAAAAAGTATTAAATTTAAGTAGCAGTTCTAAATTTTTATTAGATAGTACCGAATTCTTTGAAACTTTTGCCTTCATATTTTCCTTTTGATTTATTATGCTAGATATTTCGAAGTCTTAACTATTTATAGTATTTTGAAGATCGAACGAATAAACTTATGTGCATTAGTTTCAATTTTTTTTCTTCTTTAAATCAATGTTTGAACTAAACTTACGTATTGAGGTGCATAAGGTTTTGGATATGCTTCAGCTGCGTAAGGTTTTGGGTAAGAAGGTGCAGGTGCTCCGTAGCTCGGTCCGTACTGAGCTGCAGCCAGTGAGGCGAGACACAAAAGTATTACCTATTAAAAAGAAGGAAAAATAAGTGTTTTAAAATGGAGGAAAGAAAATGGCTTCTACGCAATCAACTTTGTTTTTTTTCTTCCTTATTTGTTTATTCAGAAAATATGCAAAATTTCTAATTTTTAATATAACTTTCATAATAATATTTATAATGATAGAAAAATATATAAAATATATGGTAAAAAATATGTGATAGAAAATATATATATATATATATATCGATTATTTCCATCGATTCTTATCAATACAATTGTTATTTTGCTGCTTAACAGTGCGCATGTAAATTTGTTTTATAACCCTGTGAAAACATATTTTGCTAGATTATCGTTTATTTATAATTAATTATTTATTTTCAGATATATATTTTTTTAAATTTTATAATCTGCGTCGAAAAGCCGGTTGCGATTCTGAGTTTACGACGATGGATGTTCAACTCAGTAGCCTTGTAATTTTGAACCCAACCCAGAAGACAAAGGAACTCCTGGACCAAGAATTAGCACAAACTAGCAGCCTTCGCGGACGATTTTTTGATGGAACTAGCCAGCATTAGCGTTACTTAGAGAAGAAAATCTCACACGGTTAGCGAGACGGCAAAGGGATTTTAACCAATGATCCGTCTACCACTGAGGATATTTTACACCAGCACTGCGTCGCTGCGAGCCGGGAGCAGATAATGTATCGATCAGCCAAAACTCAGATTCGAACCTGGACGCCAAAACTCAGATTCGAACCTCATTAGGAGACGAGGGATCTATTTCCTGAGCTACATCGCATAAATTATAGATTGTCATTATTAATTTCAATGCAACGCAAAAGACAGATTGACTTGGACGAAAGAGAGCTCGACTCCTAATGAAGTCCCCGGGTTCGAATCTCAGTGGTGGCTGATCGATACAAATTCCGCACCCGGCTCGCACCAACAACTGTGTTGACGTAAAATATCCTCAGTGGTAGATTGATCAGAGGTTAGAATCCCCTTGCCATCCTGCTAACCATTTGAGGTTTTCGTTGTTTTCCTGTACATGCAACTCAAATGTGGGATAGTCCCTATCTAAAAGTCCTCCACGAAGGCGAATTTTTCCCAATACTTTATCCAGGAGTTTCATTGTTGTACTGAGGATTGTGTACAAAATTACAAGGCTATGGAGTTGAAATGTTGGGAGTCGTAAACGAAAAATCAGTTCAACGACGGTTATAAAAATAAAAATTACATAAAGAATTAAAATTTAACTATCGCAAGACGCGGTTTTTGCCTAAGGGAGGTCTTTAAATTAAAAAAATAATATTCAGGAAAACTTTAAAAAATGCATAGAAATTTAAAGGATTCTTTTTCAAAACTTGTGAGAAATGAAAATGTAAGTCTTGATATTAAAATAAGCTCCTAATGAAATAACAGATGCAAAAGACAAAAAAATAAAAAAAGAGTTCTAAAAACGAACGAAGCAAGTTCCAGAGTTCAATGTGGGCTTCGACACGTTGTTTTCTTTGGTAAAAGGCAGACTAGCTTTTCCTACCTCTGTAAAATTTAAATTTGTTGCATTTTCTTTTACTTTTTAGTGAATTTTAAACACTTTTTAAAATAACTCGACATCTGTTTAACTAAAACTTCTTTGATGCAAATCTGAATAAGTTAATTAATTAATAAAGATAATTTTACTGATTAAGCGCCATTTTTTAAAATAATATCTTATATTTTTGGTATTGAGATTGATTTATAAAAAAATCATTTAAATTATTACTTAAAATTTTAATTTTTAAGACTGTTATTTTGGTTAAAAGGTGGGCGGGATTTTAAAAATTTTTTCTACTCACAGAATTGCTCGTATAATTGAATGTCTGTGCTTATAAATAATTGAATTTTTAAATTCTGTGTTAATAGCTACAAATAAATTTGATAAGATGAACAAATAATAATAAATAAAGGATAATCGTATGGTGAAAGGTCGGGGCTACATTAAAGATGCGAGATCACTTCCCAACTAAGCTCCAATAATTTCGTGAGCGCTGCTAAAGACGTGTGAGGCCTTGCATTATCGCGGAGGAACAAAATTCCTTTGTGACCCCACATATTCCACGACTTTGCACCATCAGATTATCGTTCATTTCATAGATTTTTAAATGATAAAAAATTCAGTAATAGCGATGGCTTCGAATTGCACTTGCTTGAGTGTTTTGCTGACAGGTCCAGAAGTTCTACAAGCGCGGGTTCCCGAAAGTTATCAGAAAAGTGTGAAAAGTTCATCGAATGAACGATATTTCAGTCAAATAATTTTATTGATTGAAGTTCGTTTTTGCATAGGAAAAAAATTTATTTTTATTTCACACTAAAAAACCGGAACAAATTTCTTGCCAACCTGATACTTCCCACGTTTTCAAAAAGGATCAGTTAAAAAAAAAAATGTAAATGTTTTTAAACCATTTATACATAATTTGAAAACATAATTTTTTAACTGGATCCTAACTATTTCAATTCAAATTTATTTTTAAATTTAGTTATTTCTGTGTTAAAAATTTTAGTTCGTGATCCAGCGTCATGAAATATCAGTCATTTTAATGTTTTCTTTTTGAATGAATAACTCGTAAACATAACGATTGCTGTTATTGATCTTCTAGAGGTCTGGCAAGATACCTTGATGGTTAAGAAACAAAATTTTTAAAACCATTTTATTCGGTGTCTGATAAAGTCTATTTATAATTAACTATGTCTGAATATATTTAATTTTTAAAAGTTTGTCTCTCATGAATAATTGGAGAGTTGGCAGATTATGTTTTAAATTAATTGAAAAGCTTTTCAGTTAAATTAATGACAAACATTTATTGTTTTACTTCACGAGTATAAAATATGATAACGTTAGATTTTTTTTGCTAATTAGTTTTAACTTGAACTCTGTGAAAAGAAAAATTATGTTGCTAAGATTTATAAAAACTGATGCAGATTAGACGAAGTTACTTTATATGTCAGGCGTTTTTATTAATTTTACAGCTTTTTTTCATATTTGTTTCAAATTCTAAAAAAAAAAAAAAAAAACCCTGATTTTTTCAGTAAAAAATGTATATATGTTGATTATTTCCGTAGCGGATGCACTTTGAAATAAGACAAAATATTATTGAATCAAAAGCATTTTTCTCCCTGTTTTAATAATTTAAAATATTTTTGGTTGAAATCTTATAATAACTTGTATTTTTCCATCTTTCATTTTCCTTACCAAAAAATATATCTATACAAAAACTCAATGCACAATATGTATGAGCAATTTGTGAATCTTTTAGAAGAAATACCTTGTATGTATATTTCGTTATACTATAATATCTTTAAACTATTATAATCTTATTTAAAAATTAATATCATTTATCAACAGAAAATGGAAAAATAATTTTGATGTAGAATCAGGCTCGGACGGAATCAGCACTATCATAGTTTGAAAATTATATATATAATAGAATTTAATCATTAATAATTAATTCTTGGAATATATTAAGAAACAATGAACCTTAGAAATCTTAAGAGATAGGCATTTAATTTTTGATGCCAATAACCTAATTGTTTTGTGTCAATTATATATATATTAGATACTTTTTCATCAATTTTCATAACAAAAATGTGGAAAATTAATGAAGATATTAATCAAAATATTTTTTTTAACTTCGCATGATTAACGTATCTTGCGCAGTCCACATAAATAATTTATTTATTTTTTAATTTTTATTCATATATTTAGAACAGAATTAGGAACAAAATTGTAACAAAAAATTTCAGAATTTTTTATTTCAAAATTTTTTGCGCGTCTGTGACTGTTTTAAAAAAACATTTTTTTCTTTAAATATCGATAAAAAATAAAAGTGACTGATATATATATACAATACTTAATTTACAAATATTTATATTTCAATATTTTATATTGCAATCATCATAATTTTACAACTTTAAGAGTAATTGGCTATTTAATGAGCTTAATTAGCTCATATCTTTATAATATAATTCTGGAATGTAAGCTAAAGAAAATATTCTACAATTTAGGAATTAAAAATATTTATAGACAGTTTACCGAAATCACTAATCAAAAAATCGTATTTTTTATGCTACAAACTTTATACGTTCAAATAATAATTTCAGTTGTAGCAAATCTTTTGTATTATCAATTCGGGTAAGATTTGCTTCTTTGAACTATCCAATTTTTCTAAGTAATGCATTGTTAATGATTTTCCCTCGATTTTATAAGTATATTACATTTTGTTTTAATCTTTTAAAGACATTAGAAAAAAATATTCAAAGATAATAAATGTTTTAATCCTTTATGGTATTTTAAATAACAAAGAAATAGAAAATTTTTTGCTATTTTTTTAGTTTTAAATTTCGAAATAATTTTTATTAATTTTCCCTACGACAAAAATATATTTGAAAACCGAAATATTTTTTAATCCTCAATGGTATTTAAAATGAAAAAAAATTACTTTATCTTATAATTTTCCAATTTAGAAATAATTTTTAACTTTAATATTTAGCTGCAAGACAAGATTATTTTAACAAAACATTAGTGGTAAAAATAGTTCAGATATTTTAAAACAATTAAATAAACCAGTTGTGAAGCGTTTTTTCCTTTTAGATTAAAATCTCCATGTGTTTTCAAGTTTTAATTATGTTTAATAAGACTAATTTAAATTATTTTAAACATAAAACGTTTTAAATTTCAAGTAGAAAATTCTAAAAATACAATTAGTTGTAAGATGATAAATTTAAATATATATTTTTTTATAAAGGTAACATAGAAACTTTTATATGAATCACGAAAGAATCATGCTAAAAATAATGATTCCCGAGGAAAGTATTATTTGTTAAATTTAGAAATAATTTTTAACTTGCATTTTCAGATGCAAGAGCGTAAATATATTTAAATCAAACTTACTTCGTAAGAGTAGCTGGAATATTTACAACAATTACACAAATCAACAGGAATACGTTTTTTTCTTCTTTTATATCGAATTATGTTATGTTGAATGAATAATAATTATTGAATTATTGAACATGTTTCTAAGTTTTAATTTATATCAAATTAGAATGGTTCGAATTTTAGTTTTTAAAAATACACAAAAGTTTTAAATTTTAATAAGGAAATTCTAATAATGCATTTCATTGTAAGATAAGATATTTAAATATTTTTACTTTAATAAAAAGGTTTCAAATTTTTAGCATGCCAATTTTAAAATTTTTTAGTTAAAAGATAGTGAACATTATTAATAATGATAACTTTTAAATAGAGGTCAAACTGCAATTCCTCAATTTTTTACGAAATAATAAATGGAAAAATCTGAAAGTATGTTAATTGAAAATTATATTTTTCCTTAATATATTTTATTTATATTAATATACTTTAGTTATATTAATATATTTTAGTTATATTAATATATTTCAGTTACATTAATATATTTCATTTATATTAATATATATTTTTTTAATTTAAATTTTATAAGACAATTTTAACAATTTCTTAATTATAAGTTAGTAAATTTGTGTAATAATGTTGACTATAGTTAAAAAAGCTCCAAGAGCAAATTCTTCGATTTTTTTTTACGAATTAATAAATGGAAATATCTGTACAAAAAAAGTATGAATGACTACTCTACCTTTGAGATCATGTTGAAAATTTAGTTGCTGAACCTTACCAGCCAAAGATCAAACTATATTCCGATGAATCAGTAGGAGATGTTTAAATAGTTGAAGATTAACCCACTTTTGATGGGGCGTCATGGCCTAATCAAGCCTTTTTTTGCCCTTAAGGCAGGGTAGAGAGTGAAAGTTACTAATGTGACACACATTGAATGAAACCACTTTCAAAAATCTTACGCGAGTTCTCGAAAAAAAATATCGAGGATATTTTTTTCTTTTAATTGAGATTTCTACAGATTATAGTGTACAAATCACCCTGATTTCGATATTAATTACGCGAATTTTTTTCTTCACCTTGGCATTAGTTTTTCGATCTTAATTAAAAATCGTTCTACTCTTTGCCCTTGATTATCGTTTGACTTTGAAGAAAATATTCTTTGCGGGAAGGCCGGATCGTTTGCAGGTTTTGGACAATCGGAACTTATGAGGAATATTAATTAGATTTGAAAGTTACTTAGTATTCTTTGTGAAGAACAAAGGTCACTGATTAGGGGGGAATGACTTTTTTCAAGTTGATTAGTGCAAATAAAGTGTGACTTATTAGTCGTCAATTAAAGAATATGTGAAAAATTATAGAGAGAAATACAAAGTTTAGCGAAATACAAATTTTGTTTGTAAAGTGAAGTTTGTTTTACTAAAACTATTTGCTAAATTGTGTAGTTTTAACAAATTTAAGTTTCTATGTGCATATCTCACACTTTGTTAATTTTCCTTTTAATTTTAGTTAAATAGTTTATAATTTAGTTATATTGTTAAGTTATATAGTTATTTTAAAGCGGCGATAGACATTTCTTTATTTATCAAAACAAAATGTAAAAAAATGCAATTAAACTGACGAATTTTTCATACTTAATAGCTGTGTTAGAAGGAATTATGATTTTAATAGTAGTCTAAGTAATATTTTTCACCGTATTAAGTTAGTAGTCTTAGTAAAAATAGTAGAAAATAGTAAATTACTAATCGGCGTCTATTTTTGAGCGCTTGAAACATGCCGACTGTTATTTCCAATTTGTATTTCTTTGAAGCAAATGAATTATTTAATCAAGTAGTTGTAAATCACTTAATCTATAATGAAAAGATACTGAATGTCTCAAAAATGACCGACTGTTTAAAAAATTAATTTGAAGAAAATATACGGTTTGCTGCGTTCTGCTTTGGGAACAACATAATTATTTTCTAGGACTAAATTAGTTATAAAGTATATTAAAAGATTACGCTGTCGACTATTAGCAGCTGTAAAACAATGTTTTTCGATAATTATGATTATCTGCAATAACATGATGCAATCTGAGAATAAAATCTACATACGCATGTGGAACTATTTGCGGTGGAAATGGTTTGTTCTGAAATGGTAGACACTGTTTTAGAATTTTTTGTGTCAGTTCGAAGTGCTATCTGTTGATGAACTTAATATCTAATTTTGAAACTTGAGGAGAATAAATGCTTTTTTTTTTGTAGCTAAAAATGATTCAGTAAATCGTACATTTCTATTTCTTTTCTAATATTCATTTGCTGATTTTGTCATTTGTGGGAAAACCAAAGCTTCTCACTCTATAGGTTGAGACTCCAACCGGATCGCGAAACTAGTAGTTCTTTCTAGAAAAAAATCTTTCTGGAAAGTCCTGTATCATATATGAATTGAAATATAGGGCATTTTAAATCAACATAATTTCTCTATTGTCTTGTTGAATTTGAAAAAAAAAAGAATGTTAATGAAAATGGAATATTTTCTTTGATCCTATATTGTTTGTTTTTGATTGGAACAGTTTTATGAAATTGCTGAACTTCATCATTATTTTATTATTTGCTAACCATGCACAACATGGAAAATATCCTTTATATGAAAATATGTGTTTCTTGCATATTTTTTTGCTGGAAATAGAAAATCGGTAATTAATTTTTTGATTACTAGGCGCCATTTAACCAAAATCCACTTTTTTTTTATAGCTTTTTACATATTTTAACAGCCCTGAATAATAACAGGCAAAAGAAAGCCGATCTCATTAGCAGTGTCAACTTAAGCGGCTATTATGGTGATCTCGATATGCGTCTTAGACAACAAAATCCTTTATTTTCCTTCTCGAAGTTTCGAGGTTCTAGTGTATGTACAACTCATAAAAGAAAATTATTTAAAATATCGAGTGCACATTAAAATTATTTCGTTCGTCGTTTTGTTTGCTTTGTATCGAAAAACTAATATATATTTCTAATATATATTTAACTTTGCTAATATTATATGTTATTAAAGCTATTATTAATTTAGCAATTTGAGAAAAAGATTACGAACCAATTATAAGTAAGGTAATAGTTTGCTTGGCGTTCTACAAAGAAAAGTTTTAACAAAATACTTTTTTTAGTTTGATTTTATTTTATTTCAAAATTTAAACTATTATTTTTAAATTTTAAACAAATTATTTTAATATTTTTTCATTAATCATAAACATAATGTTACAATAGTTTTGAATTTTTTAAACAATCTGTCTTAAATTTATTTATAGTTTGCAGAAAATAATTATTTGCTTTTGCAAAGTATAGTACCTCATTCTAATGTAACAATTAATTTGTTTTTTGATAATTGCATAGTTAGATGTAGATAATAGACGCTGCTTGCAAAATGGTCAGTGTTAATTTGAAACATTTGAAAATTAAGTCTTCGGGCATTTTCTCCAACTTCTATACAACTTTTTCTCTAATTTTAATGGTACTAAATTTAAACATGTCGCATTGATGAGCAGTTTTTTTTCTGTTAAGTATTGCAGAAGCAATTAGATATCAAAAGCAGCTCTTCTTGACTTAACATTTTGTAGTATTCACATCATGTTGAAAGGTTTTGTAATATTCGTATGTAACTAAAAAATTTTCTATGGGGTACAATTTCACCTAAACAAGTCATTATACGGTTTAATTTAATTAGACATTAGACATTTGATTTAATTAGACTCATAAAGAAGCAAAAAAATATCAAACCAAATTTTTCTTTTTAAATAGATATAAAGTAATTAAACTTTCTTCATGCTCTTTTTTCTATAAATTTCGAATTTCCCACAGTTAGCTTATAAATTATAACAGTCAAAATTTATTGTTAAACATGTTTGAGCCTGTAAACAATACAGGGTCAAACCAGATGTACCAGAAACAATGTAAGATTACATTTTTACGTATTTAAATTCATTATTTTCTCAAGATGTATAAAAATGGATAATTTAGTATTTAAATTAAAAGTATTTAGTTGATTGTTTAATTTCAATTGAAAAGTGGTACACAGAATTCATTTCCACACAACGCTTATACTTTTTGCGTGATGACTACTTTAATAAAAAATTGGCTAAATAAAAGTTGAAATATAAATTCATTGGTCAATAAGAATTTTGAATAAAATAACGATATGATTAAAAAGTATTAAGTCAAAAATGTCAAATAATTTAAAGAATGATTTTTAAGACTTTTGTAACTAGTGTAAAGACTTTTAATTGTTTAATTAACTTTTGTTAAAAAAAATCTCTTGAGCTGAAAAATGATGGGTCCCGCAGTGGACTGATCGTTAAGACACGGTTCCCAGCAGATCACCGAAGTCAAGCATCACTGGCTACGGTCAGTGTGCGGGTGGGTGACCACTTGGATCAGTCTGCGTAGGGACCGAGGGTGTGCGGTATTGGTCCTCGTTAAACTGTGCTACCGTAAAGTGCTCGACTTCGCGCGCAGGTCGTCGGGCTACCGAAGCGGGGGTGCCATCCCCTCCGCAGAGGATCAAAATTG